TTTCGGCGCAAACACAAGGAGCCTCCAAATAGGGTACTCCCCTAATAGCTATGTGAGGACGCCCGGACTCACACACTGTGTAGCCACACCAGCCCCTTGCCTGCCCCCGCTCGCCGGGGGGGGAGGGGGCGCCTTTTCTTGCACTCTGTTTGCATTGTGCCTTTGTGCGCGTTCGTACCTTTCTTTCAGTGTGCTTGAAATTTTCTTGCCAGCCCAAAAGGGAGTCCTGAGTGCTATTGCTACGGCCCTGGCGCTTGTGTGGGGACTGTCTCTACGGACGCGTTGAGCAGTTTAGGTGACGGAGGTTCCTTGCCTTACGGCCTACCCATACTTTCGCTTAATGTCTGTACTAGACGTGGCGCAGCATTGCTATGGGTGACGGGCAGCTGAGTGATTGGTGCCGGTAGGTTCTTGTTTGCGTTGGTCTCACCTCGCTGGCCTTGCGTTAAGTTGTCTTGCAATAAGGGCCTCTGCGCTAGCGGTTGCTTCTTTGTAGTCACGACTTCTTTTTCACTCGCTGGCTTGTACAGATTGGCTCTCAAAGTAGTTGTCCTTGTCTCACACCTAGTCGAGCCCAACAAGACCGGCCTACTGCGCTACTGATGTAGTAAAGAGGCGTCAGTCCAAAAAAAAAAGTCTTCAGATTCAAACGATCCTCTTTCCCAACCGCGCAAGGGGCGCCAGAGGTCTAGGGCCCTTACGACGACGTGACTGTCCACTCAGATCAACTCAGAGTAACGCGCAGGTCCGTAAATGCCCCTTTTCGGACTTCAAACCACGGACCTAGCTTTGCTACGGAAAGTGGATCTTTAAGATGCAAGCTGTCCAGTAAGATTTGCGGCGTCTTACTGCCCAAGATTTGGGCAGATCCAGAAACTTTAACATCCTTGAATCCTTGGGTGCGTGGGCAGAAGCGGGTTGTAGATTTGCAGGCAGGCGGCAGGAAAAGTGTGAGAAAGGTGGACCTGGAGCAGCTGATTGGCAGCTAGTGGTTGGACCTGGTGCGGCGCCATGCGTCGGATCTTCTTTCTTCTTCAGCAAGTGTCATGTGGAGACGTAAGCCTTGCCAGCCCTGGAGGTGGGCAACCCTTGCCGGCAAAGCTTCCAGGCTTCGCTCGTGAGCTGAGCAAAAATGGCAAGAACGGACTTTTGGCGAAACGGCAAAGAACAAAAAGACCACACCACCCAAACCGAAGCACGGAGCCCGTCAAGCGACGGCCTCAGAAAGGCAGCAAGGCAAGAAAAGAAAGAGAAGCAACTCTAAACGCAAACCCAAAGCAGCCGTGCTTAAGCCTGCCAAGAGTTCCATGGTAGTTACTCTGCAAGCTCACCAACAAATAAATACATTCTCACGAAACATGGATGAATTCCACAGGTACCTTCAAATGTGCAGTAAACCGATGACCAACGATTTTCAAGCGGTCGCCTCTTTTTTACGTCGGCAGTTCCAGTAGGTCGGTCCTGTGCAGATCAGTAAAACAAGTCGCCACAGCACTGCACTTCAAAAGCTTTTTTTTCCAAACAGCAGAAAGGTTGTTAGGTTGGAGGTCTGGGGGCGTGCCGCAGCGGACGCAAGCGTTCGCAAGCTTTGCAAGCGTTCGCAAGCGTTCGTAAGCGTCGCCAGTGTCAGATTTTGTGTCAGGTCGCAAAACGCAGAACCGTCGTTGCTTTTGGACGTTTTTAGATGTGAATTGCTTTCGAATCCGTTAAGCTGAAGGGCTTCAAATCCGTCGCAAGCTTAAAGGGGGCACAGCACCGCGTTCTTAAAAGTTGGAGAACCCCACAGGATGCACGTTCAGGCGCCTTCAAATCCGTCAAGCTGAGAAGAAGAAGATCAAGAAGAAGAAGAAGAAGCAGGTAACTCCACAGGGGCGTTGTTCCGCAGCGTTCAAATTAAGGGAAAACTTTAAAGAACGCACGTCCGGCGTGTTTCTGCGGCGTTCCAAATCCGTCAAGCTGAGAGCGAACCCATCGGATGTTTTTTTGGCGGTAAGCTCCTTTCCACGTTGGCAAATTAGTGGGAGCGCAGCAACAGCCTGGGCAAGAGTGTCCGTGCAATTAATTGTGGGCAGGTTAATGTTAGTTTCAGGTGATCACGCAAATGCACTTTAATGCTGGGAAATTGTGTCGCAAAACCAATAGGTTTTTTGGACCGTGAGCGTCTGTCCTACCAGGGTGATACTGTCCGTGTGGAGTTGTTTTGTTGGCTGTATGTCAGTCTGTGCAAATGTGGTAAAATGTTAAATGTGTGTTGCAGATCTTGTGTGCAAATTTGGAAAGGCTCTGTTACAGCCTTTGGAGTTGAGTGTGGCAAGAATCCAAAGTTGTTCTTTTGGAGAATTTGCGGACGAGACATACTGGTTAGATTTAATGGTAAAGATTTAAGCTGGAGTTCAAAGTTTTGGGGTTTTAGGGTTGGGGTTGGAAGTTTTTAGGTTACAGTTTGGGGTTTTCAGAGTTTTAGAGTTTGGGGTTTGTGGTTTTTAGGTTGGGTTGAACCAGTTAAATGCCACGCCTGGTAAATTTTTTGAATTTTTGGAAGGATTTTCATGTCTCAAATTAACTCCGTTTGCCAGAAGAAAATACGCGATTCTTCACGGAGAAGCCCTTGGACGTTGCACGCCTTCAACTGGCACGGTTGAATTCGTGTCAATTTTCGACCTGAGACGGCGCTTGTTTCAAAGTGTTTTGTTGACTCTGGTTTTGTAATTTGTTTTCTGGTTTCTGCACTCACAGCAGCGTGCACGTTGCGTTCCTGAGCTGCGCTCCCTGCAGATTGTCCGTCGAAACATATCCATTTTTGCAGGACCGACGCAGAGTTTAACTTCCAGGACATTTGTGCAAAACTTTGTTGGAAGAAGACCGGAGAGACTCCGTGTTTCTGCCATTTGCGTGTTGTTTCCAAGTTGATAAGTTTGTTTGGTTTCCGGTCGGTAAAAATTTGCTGTTCGAGTTGACTGAGCTTAACGAATGGCGTGGAGTGGGAATCGAATCCGTCGGAAGAAGCGAAGCGACAGGAGGCCGTGATCGTTCGAGTCGGTAGCCGTCTGGGCCGTCGTGGGCACGAGTTCTGTCACCTCAGCCAGCACGGACCAGCTCGTTATCACTTCCGAAGCACCAGTGTCCGGCAAAGAAATCAAGAATTGAATAGTTGATGATTCAAGTTTGATTGAGTTCGATGATGAGGCTTAAAATGACCACGGTTGGGCGCAAGTTCGGTGCTATTCAGTGTTCATCATCGAATCTGTTCATCGTCGATCAAGCGAATCATTAATCAATGACTCGTTGTCATGATTCTTATGAGCTTATGATTTTATGATTCGACTAAGTCGATGTTCAGTAAGTTCGTTTAAGTGAAGTTTAGGGGAAGTGAAAGTCAAGCGTCAAAGTCAGGGTCAGCAAGGAAAAGCCAGAGAGTCGGTCTTTTCGTGAGTCATTGGGTTCCACGTGGATTTCGAAGAATCCTGATCATGATTGATTGAAAATGCGTTTGAAGACTGCTTGAAGTGGGTAACATTGACGTAACATATTACCATTTTGTTTACAGTTGTATATGTATATGTATATGAATCATTTGAAGAACGAACGGGATTCATCCGCATTTAACCCTTTAACATGATGACATGATGGATGATGAATGATTATGATTGATGGATGGATCGATGAATCGGATTCGGAAAAAACGGGTCGACACATATTGCTCGGTCATGCAGGCTTGGCGGTTTACCACCACTCCTCCGGTCAGTTTGTCGCCAAAGATGATGCCACAGCTTGCTGGCGCCGCCAGTCCTACTCGACCAGGAAGTGAGTGAGATGTTCAAAGCTTCTTGTTGGGGCCTGCGATTTCCATGAAAACTGCTGATAGCAGTTGTACATATTGCAATGAAGTTGATAGAGACACCGTGTCAGTAAACTGTCAGGTTCTGCTAGATGTGTGTATGTTCCAAGGAAAAGACAAGGGCCTCAGGTTCCAATTTACTGATGCAAGGTCATCGACTGGTTGGATAGGTTTTTCAAGCTGGAAGTGATTTGAGTTGCGCGAAGTGAATCGGAACTGTTGATGTTTTGTTTCAGTTGTTTTTTACTTTCGACGGAACGGTTGAATTTTCAATGCGTAAACCAACGGAATCGAGCTTGTTAAGGCTCAAGCGGTTGTCGTTTTTTGGAGTCCAACTGTTGCCGCCATGAACATCAACGTTGAACTGATGAGTGGCACGGCTTGCCCCTTGGAAGTGCAGCAGGACCAAACAATTCGAGAGTTGAAAGAGATGGTGAAAGAGGCCTGTTGGTGGACTTGGCTTTGGGTTTGTTGAAGGTGATTCAATGTATTTTCCCAATAAATTGGTTCAGCTGCGAAGGATGTTTCCCGGTTTTTCCCAGGTGAGTGAAGCACATTATAGATATTATAGTTGCTTCAGATCAGTGCGCACTTAGACAGAAAACCTTGTTGATACTTTTCGTATTGTTTTGAGTATTGTTTCACGGTTTGCTGAGCAAACTCGGGGCGCCCGATACCTGCAGAGCATGGCACCTGGGAGGTTTTTTATCCGTCTGATGAGGAGGTCACACGAAAACTCCGGCATGTCGAGATGGCTCTTGACGGCAAGACGCTTGGTGCTCTTGGTGCTTTACGATGCCCTTGGAGATTCAGAATGGGGTATAGAACTTGTCTAAGAGCTACCGCCTCGCTTAAAGGACAACCACACACGAAGAACTACCGAAATTCAACATAATACAATATATACAGAATATATTTTGAGACGCCCATTAGTTTTTGTTTGTGTTTCCTTTCAATCAGGGCGTTGGACACCAAGCTTTCAACAAGTCGAGGAACCTGAATGAGCTTGACACGACCATCTCGACTTGTATCGGGGAAGGTTCCAAAGTGCAGGCTGGGTAGCAGCAAAAACACATCTCTGTTCGGGGGTGTGGGGGGCTGTCACCCGAGAGGTTGCCATGTCTTGAAAGAATACCGCTCCTGTTCACAGGCCGTGTTCTCCATGAAGCCAACGGTCGAGTGTGCCAGTCTAGAGGATGCAGTGAAGTCCGGCTACCCCAAAGACGTGTTGTTTGACGTGAAGATCCCCGATGCTGCGACTCGAATTGGGGACAATGCTTTCGAAGACTGTGATTGCTTGGTTCGCCTTAGTATCCCAGATTCCGTGACAGAAATTGGAGACTGGGCCTTCTCTGGCTGCCGCTCTTTGACGAGCCTGACAATCCCAAATTCAGTGACACACATTGGGTACAATGCCTGCAGAGGCTGCAGATCTTTCATGAGCCTGACGATCCCAGATTCGGTTACAGAAATTGGTGAGGATGCCTTTTCAGGCTGCAGCTCTTTGACAAGCCTGACGATCCCAAATTCAGTCACAGAAATTAGTGAGGGTGCCTTCGCGAGTTGCAGCTCGTTGATGAGCCTGACGATTCCAGATTCAGTGACGCGCATTGGTGAGGATGCCTTCTCTGGCTTCAGCTCTTTGACAAGCCTGACGATCCCAAATTCAGTCGCAGAAATTGGCGAGGGTGCCTTCCGTGACTGCAGCTCTTTGATGAGCCTGACCATACCAGATTCAGTGACCCAAATTGGGAATAGTGCCTTCTCTGGGTGCGGCTCTTTGACGAGCGTGACGATCCCAAAGTCACGAGAACATGATTGGCCTGAGCGGATCTTTCACAATCCGTCCATTCAGTGGACATTCACCGAGGGTCGCTGATCATTCTGAGCAGATGATGCCCTGAAGCAAAAGAATTCATTGATGCGCTGAATCCAAAATGAACATGATTTGGGATTGAATCTACCCATTGTGAGCATCAACCAAAACTTAACAGAATTCTTTGCGTTGACAACTGGTTTGGATTGGTGATTTGAATTCGAGCATGCACAAAGGTGAAGAATTCAGAAGAATTCATCATTCCGGTTATCCACAAAGAACTTCAGCTAACTTATAAGTAGTTCTACAAACCAACTGCAGAGCAACCATCAGGATGAATCAACATGAACATGTTAATCAAGAGGACATGAACAATACTGTACATGATAAACATGGGTCATCATAAACCATGTATCAGTAAAGCATTCATTTGGCATTCGTTTGGCATTCATGTGGCATTTTCCGAGCTTTCCAACCCAGCCGATGACCTAAGGTTCGGCTGACAGCATGGCAAGGGCTCGAATGGGACTTGGTGGAAGGCGGCATAGTCGGGACATGGTATAGCACGTTGTAGCCATGTATGAAGAAGCAGCAAATGTCTGGGTGTCTTTTTTTTGCATGTATTTTTAAATGAATATCAGTATATTGAAAATGATTAAAGCAGAGAACGAACATCTTCTTGCAGCTTGGCAACTACTCGTATGCACATCCTTTGGGCCCTAGGCCCCAGGTGATTTTGCAATAAATCATAATTAGGCTGTAGCATAACCAGTTGTTCACACATATCTGAGAGTCCCACGGCCCAGATCCACACATCACGCGCAGTGGCGTGTGTGACACGAAGTGAACTAGAGAAGAGAGAAAAAACACGAAGCACCGGCAAAAATGCTTCATCCCGAAAATTAAAAGCCCCAATTCCTTAATCTATGGTCTCTCCCATGAAAGGTACAGGCAAGATGGCGAAGAGCAACGGGTTGCAAAAGGGGCCAACCACATACAGTGCCATTTGGGTGTGTTTTGCCATTGGATTTGCAATGCACAGCGACGGTAGTTGGCACGATCAACTCATCGGTGAGTTTGGAACGCTGGTTGATGACTTTACGGATCAAGGCGACATAATCCCTCGGGGTATCAGAACATTCAACCTCAAAGGGAGAATGAAACAACCCGAAAGCAAGCTCAAGGATTGAAACCTCATGACCCTCTGCAACTCTCCAGGTCAGGGACTGAAGAAAAGAAACAGCATTCCAGTTTTTCAAGGACAGCATATTTGGCAACTTTGGGTTGCTAGGTGGACCACAACTAGTTTTCCAAGCAAACTGGCAAGCAAGGAACATCCCAATGCCACCGAGGAAATCGTAGCTGAAAATGTTCCAGAGGAGAGTTCACAGTCAGCAGCGCAACTTCAAAGGTAACATGTGGGGGTGTAGGAGTGCTTCCATTTCGCATTTGCGCAATCGAATTGTTTTTGTTTGTTTCACGAGTTCCATGATGAGTATACTTGGCTTGAAATGGTGGCATGTAGTTCGAACGTTTCCGTCTTCGTGTGTCATTTGTGCCGAGTTTACTCCTGCGAAAGGGTACTGCACGCATGTGCACATGTTTGTAGGGGCGCATGCTTTGTGGCTTTTTTGCTTTGGTATGTTTAGCTCCATACCCAAATCCATCGAACATGGAACTGGCCTGTGCCTTCGCCTGAAAGAGCGGTTGGCGAGCTTTCGTAGAAAGATCCCCCAGCGAAATTTGAGAACCGGAGACCCCAAGACCTACAATGTTGCCGCTTGCTGTGGCCATGGGAGCCATGGTGCAAGTCGGAGATGTTCATTCAGAAAGCTGCTTGGCCCGCATCCGGCTGTTTTTTGCAAGGAGCGCCATGAACACAAGATGGTCGGTTTTGGGGATGTCGTTTCACATGCAAAAGGTCAACGAATGGATTGTTAGGGCATACTGACGAGGCATCTCCATGTTGGAGGAGTTGGATTTGCACCGTGCTGCCTTGTTGCAGGCCCAGCAATTTTCAAGATCCTGTTTCAAATCTGGTTGACGTGACCTTTGCGACTCTGTTGTTTAGATGCGCGCATTCCCGTGCATTTTGAATTGTAGAAGCACTGGGAGGACAGTTCGTACCCAGCAGATGAGCTTCATGATGTGTCTTTGCGATGCTGGACTGCCGCTTGGATCTCTCTTAGAAGCTCGAGACAGGAGCCTGGCCAACATGGACGAAATTTAAAGGATTCATGGGTTCATGGATTCATGGATGCATGCCATATTTTGACAGGTGGCCATGGATCCCCACAGTGATCCGGAGGTTCAGTGGCGATGCCGCTTCATTCTCGTGTTCCTTTTCGGCCAGGGCCAGCTGGTGCAGCCCATTTGCTGCAAAAGGCACAAAGCTTTCTTGGTATACTGCGCACGATGGCTGCAAACCCGTTGAAACGACACATGTCATGCAGCGAGGTTTCCGGAACAAAGTTGCGAGCAATGGGCCTTCTTGTCCATGCCGGACAGGCAGCTTGTCTGCGCATTGCTTTTGAATGCCTACTTTGTGAGGGAAGTCTGGTTGCAGCATGGAAAGCGGAGCGTTGCTTGAGGGTGCTGCGCGCGATGGACCAAGAGATGATGGGACGCTTCTACCGTCCAGGGCAGGACGCTGGGCATCTCAAAAGTTGCCCGTGGGCAGAAGTGAACTCCCCACAGCCAACAATCGTGAAACTTCTAAAGCTAAACACATATTCACAGCTCTGGAGGCAACATGCCAAACCGACAAACATGCAAAGCCGAAAAGCCCAAGTTCTCCTTTCCAGAAAGAAAGGCATTCATAAGCCCTCAATCCAAAAACTGTGCCACTGAGCTTTCCCCAAGCCTACCAGATAGCTGGTTTGTTCGGTATTTTTGGACGACATTCTTAAGGAGTATCAGCTTCCAGACATTCCGCCAAGCAGCGAAGTTTGGATTGTTGGGGCCTTTTCGTCTGGGCCACATGAAGTTGGCCAAATTCTGCGGCGGAAGCCTTCGAGGATCCATTTCTTCGAGCCAATCACGGAGTTCTTTGCAGCTGTCGAGAAAATCCTTTGAAGTTGATTGGAGATTTTTGAAGGGCATCGGCACATGGTGCTTATGGTAGGGTAGGCTGTATATAGAACGGAGTTAAGCAAGCATAAGCGCAAGCAAGGTTTTTTGAGCAATTGAAGCTGCAGTGGCACAGTCGCGAGTACGCGCAGCTGCACAACTATGGTCTCGGTCGGGCGCGAGAGCACGGTGAGATGTTCATGGCCTCTGAGGGGAGCTCACTCTTCCAACCCATGGAGTTCTCGGCAAAACGCCTTTTCTTAGATTCTGTGAGCGACCCGGAGCACGGGAGGCTCCGTGAACGTCGCACCCATGTGCGTGTGGAGGATGCAGAGGTGGTATGGAGAATTCTTTCCACGGAGGACCTGGGTCTGCTGCACATGTCTCCGGGCTTAGCTACTCCATGTTCCTTGTTATTGTTCTTCGGATTCCTTTACCTGGACTGCAGCTCGTTGCCAGAACATGCGTCAAGTGGCAACCCCGCCGAGGAATTGCGAGGGCTGTGAGTACGAAGTGATCCCACAGCTTGCCGCTGCGGGGCTGCTGGACAGGATCCAGGTGGGACAGAAGAGTGTGGATCCAAGAGCCTCCCGAAAACCCCCTCTCTGGGTAGGCCATCTTTGTGGCCCCGCATCTGGTGCTCAACGATGATGAAGCCGCCGAGCTCTGCGATGCATCTTCCGGCACTTGCGCGTCCACTCGGCCTTTTGTCGCCTTTGTTCCCTCAGCGACAGCCAATCTTGAGACTGGCTCTGACCCAACTCCGAGCATCCCGAAAACTTAATCACATCCCCCACGTCCTTATTGCAGTAGTCACCTTACAGAAGGCCCCCCCCCCCCCACCCACACCCCCCCCCCCCCCCCCCCCCCCCCCCCCCCCCCCCCCCCCGGGTTGTTTGGCCTTGGGGGCCAGGTCAGAAGCTGCTTTCGCTGGGGCCCAGCGATACTGTGACGCCTTTCAGAGGGCTCCTTTGTCCGCATCGGAGTTTTCCATTTGGAGGATTGCCGCAAAGAATAAGTGTAGCAGAGCCCGGGACAGCTCAGAATCGCACGCAAATGCCTTGTTCTGCGGCAACTCCTGTGTTTCAGGTTCTGGAAGACACTCACGTGAGAGTTTGGGGCCTGCCGTTTTCTTGGCAGCATTGGGAGCTCAAAACGGCGAAAAGGAAGAGGCTCGCGAACTCCTGCAATTTCATTTTCGAAAGACTCAGTGTAAGTCTGCAATCGTGCAGCATCCTGCGAGTGCCCTTGGCCAACCAGTCCGAAGAAGGGGGGGGTAGGGATTGCGGGGGAGGGCGGGGGAGAAAATGTCAGAAGTCGACCCAATATCTTGGATTCATTGCTCAAAGTGAGATGAGATGGTATGGCCAGCCTTCCAGCACAATCTTCGGCACAATCTGAATCATGCACGACTGGTCAAGCTGTTGATGTGGCTGCTTGATTCATTCGGTGAAGCATATATAGGTCATGTTCCTGCAGCAATAAAGTGCATGCCGGCATCTTCTGACATCGTATGATGTCCAGAGCAATGGGCGGAGTGCCATGTCGGCCGAAACTTGCAGGACGACATTTGTGAAAAGTGAGAAGAGGAGACTTAGACCAGCCTGGTGTGATGCCAACGTCCACTTCTGCGCCATGCTCAAATGCTTAACATGGAAGCTCAGCATCTTCTTGATCCATCTTCTGTCTTACGGTCTTCCTGCTGCAGCTGAACCTTTGCAACTGCGGCCGGGCCCCTTGTGAAGTTGGGTGCTACCAGCACTTGCAGATGTTATGTGCGTGCGTCAGCAGCGGTGGGTTCGAACGTTGCTTCAGGGATGTTCAAAAGTTTCTGGATCCGGTATTCGTGCCGGACTTCTTCTTCGATGCCACGACAGCTGCTGAGGCTGTGGCCACTTAGAAGACCCACTACGTAAGCAGGCCTACAAAGTCGAAGCCGTTGCCTGTCATCATTGCTCTACCATGGCCAGGTGTTGGGTGCTCTGGTGAACAATCCGCCACTTGGGCAAGGCTACGTGGCGTCAGTGCTAGACGCGCATCTGCACCCCGGCTTCATTTCTGGAATGTATGTCTATCTCTTTTCCTCATTGTAAGCTTCGCATGCCCCACACTTATCTTCCCCTTAGGATGTCTGGCTTCAGATTCCCGAGAAGTATTTTTCCCATGCCTCATGCAGTGGCTTGCTGGCGAACTTTGGGGGGCCTGAGTCTGAATTCCATTCATGGCTCTGCTTTGTGCCTTGCCGTTCAGGCCGCTGTCTCCACGGATGGCACCAATGCTTGTCTGGGAAACTGGGCTGTTGCTGAAGCACCTGACGTCCAGCGAGGTGTCACAGGCACGGCGTTGCGAAGCAACAAGAAAGTGATGGGTGTGGAATGGTGCGGGCCGGTAATGGGGAGCGTTTGGTGGAAATGGCACTGTGGTAGCAGAGCGTCTGGTTGCAGTAGGGGCACTCGAACTTGCTTATGCTCGAGTGACGGCCTCACACCCCCGTCACAATCACAGCTTCCTTTTCAGGTGATTGTGGATGTTGGCGCACATGAGTGGAGCCGGTTCCTCCCGATTCTTCGGGAGGATGCCCAGGCCTGGCTTGTACTTCTGGAACCCAGCCGCAAAGCACCTTGGCATCATTGGGTGGGGCATCTCAGTTTGTTTATCCGCAAGTGAAAGCCTCTCTGCAGATGTTTTGTATGTGTGTGTGTGATCCACAAGAACGAGTTAGGCGTTCTTGACGCTCTACCGCCGCTTGAAGGCCCTCCCCGAACCGACGCCGCTGTCAGTTTGCGGTGTCAAGCTGCAATAATGGTGTGGGATCATCTTCCAGGAATATGATTGTGCTGTCAAACCCCAATGCTCAGAGTTACTCCACAAGTTGCCATGCTGCATGGCAAGCACTCTACCCAACATCTGCAACTTCCATGAACTGCGGCAACCACGCAGATGGACTATACGGATGTGATCGACCGGGTTGTTGCCTTGCCAATGGCTCTGACATGGGAACCAGGCCAAACCTCAGCCAAGATCAATGGGAGAGTGACAGACTTGTTGTCACGCTTGCAAGAGAAAGTAGAGTGACAGAGTGACCGAGAGAGAAAGAGAGGGAGAGAGGGAAGACGAAGAAGGAGGAAAAAAGTGCGGCAGAACGAAGCACGGCAGAAGGCAGCAGAACGAGCGCCAGGCCATCTCTGGGGCTTTCGTGTGCTGCACACAAACGACTACCTGGATGGAGAATGCCACTTCTCTTGATCTTCTCTTGATCTTGTGATATCTGGATGTCAAACAACTCTACTCTTCCAGTGCCATTTCGGACTTAGCTTCAAGGCAACAGCCTTCTGGAGCCGGATGACCAGATCCAACATCCGTGCGTTGACAAAGGCTCTGAAGAAGTCGTCCCGGCAGCCCGGCTGCAGGTGTCTAAAGCTGGTCTTGATCTCTCAGGATGTAAAGTTTAGGGATGAAAGTGCGAGACACGGTCAGTGTGAGGCTCCACCGTGTTATGGTTGAGGAATTGGCAACATGGTCATGCGTGTCATGCACAGACACGGCGTGTCCCTTCCGGCAAGCAGCTATCCGAGCTATCCCTATCCATCCTCTTTGCTTCTCTGCATCGCCTTGCAAATCTTCAAAGTGTCGCATAAGCTGATCGCTTTTTCGCTTTGTCGGTAGTGTTTTGCCTTGAGTGGTGTATGTTGATGTTTATCTCGCAGCCAAGAACTGTATGTGAACACACTTGGCGCACTATTCAAAGGATACTTGTGGAAGGACTGAGCATTTAGGCGGAGTGGGGCCATCAGCCATCATCTCGCGTTTTCTGTTTGAACAAAGTGATTCGGAAGTTGGGATGCTTGTAGCCAGCGAGAAGACCGCAAATGGTGGTAAGGTAATGTCGCTGGATGTTCTGTTGCAGCTGCTGATCCATGACGTCTCCCTCAGCGAGGCTCATGTCACCAAACATTTGGTAAATCTGTGTGGCCACTGCTTACAGGAATCTCACTTACAAGCACCTGTGCTACTTCCAGGCTTCGCACGATGCTGTGCGAACGGCTCGCAGTAAAGGACGGTCTCGGAATTGCCATGTTACTCTCCCAAGCCCCTAAATTGCAAAAAACCCTGAAAAGTGCAAAGGGTGCCATGCCCCAGTCCCAGAACCAACAAGCCGAAGCTGGCGCCAGGACCCCCCATCAGCGTGAAGTTGGATGCGCAGGGCGCCGACTTGAGCATCTTGGCCGTTCTGGAGTCCGCAGAGGTGCGGCTCTCGGTGCTCTCTCTCTCTCTCTCTCTCTCTCTCGCTCTCGCTCCCGCTCCCGCTCGGCTCGCGTTCTCGCTCTCGCTCTCGCTCTCGCACTCGCTCTCGCTCTCGCTCTCGCTCTCGCTCTTGCTCTCGCGCTCTCGCTCTCGCGCTCGCGCTCGCGCTCGCGCTCTCGCTCGCTCTTCGAGAGGTTGCCCCAAATTTATGGAGGGAATGAGGCGCTTCAACGATGCTGATAATGCCCTGTTCCACCAAGCCCGCGAACGAGTTAATATGCATCATCTCATCTCGCCATGAGGAACTGTTGGAGTCGGTTTACGAGGTGCAGCTGGAAGTTTCAGCCCCCTGGCGATGATGGTACCTGAACGGATGCCATGTGATTACACATGATTCCTCGTAGTCCATGTCGTGCCATGGCACTTGATGTGGCCTGAGGCTCAAATCTACCGTGGACAGCCCTCTAGGCGCGATGTTTTGGTTGGAGCCTGTGCAGCGATGGGTAGTGGTAAGGATCAGTAACGTAAGGATCAGTAACGACCACCGCGCCTGCAGATGCTTGCTGGATGTAAGGAATGTCTCGCCTTGGGTTTCAGCTGGACTGGAACAAGAAGGAAATACATGACGGAGGCAAGAGCACTGTGCAGATGTTGCAACCATGTCGGTGTACTGTAGAGGAGTGCATAAGATCCGCAGCGGATGCCGCCTGGTCACGGAGCATCCTCGGACTGAAGACTGCTTCTTCATTCGTTCCTCGCACTGGGCACATGGACGGTGGCTCGTCTAGTTTAGTTTGGCGTACACAGCTGGGCCCCCTCCACTGGATCTTATCGGCTAGCTACTGCCTGTAAGGATCGTGGACCTTTTTCTTCGGCGGCCAATTGAGACACTGCGCATCAATGAAGGAACACACATGAGCATTTCATCGCAGCAGCTTGGTGGCTTCCATCCTTGCACAGCTTTTCCTCACGAAAGTCCTTTTAGAATTACAGCTTCCAGATCCTTGCAGGAGCAGTGCTGTTGATGAACCAGTTGTGGTGATGTTTTCGTTTGATATGCTTCGAGGTACAGCTACCACATGAGGCATCATATTGACATGTGCTTGCTCGACGAAGCCTAGTGGCATTCCATCTTTCTTTCGTTCAGTGATGTCCTTGTTGTCTCAGGTGCATTCGACAGTAAATCTGTTCCCAGACTGGCGAGCCAGTCCACTTAGCACATTCTTGCGCAGCTTAGGATGGCGATGGTGAGTTGGAAGACCAAGATGAAGTCACTGGAGCTGGGGCACTTGCCTGTTTCTTCCGCCGCATTCTCAGAGCTTCTCTCCGGTGCGTGGCAGTTTTCGGCGCTTTTACCTCGCCCCGGCAGCCATGCTCCGCCAGGCATTGCCGGCTGGCCACTGCGCCACGCGGCACTGTCAACTGCAACGTTACGTGGCAAGTTCTGCAGCATCACTCTTGGTCGTTCTTTGCCGGGTTACCTTGCTCTTCGGTGTGAGTGAAGCAAGGCTTTGGGAAATGATCTGGCACAGCAAGCAAGGAGCCCGCTATGAAACTATTCTCATAGCTTACGCGCAGGCAAGGTATGATCACGACTGTTCACATGTACCATGGATGCCTCCCCCACACACAGACACACACGAGCACACACGCTGAGCTCGTGTACAGGTATTTGTAACAATGTGGGATCTGTTGATGTCTGGTGGGCAAGAGAATGCCTTTGCGTGGGACGATCTTCACGATGCCGGGGTGGCACACTTGATGTTCATGGTTGCTTGGTCTACATTGAGTCTACATGGCCTGATCGGAGTCTTTCCATGTATGCACGGCTCAGGTTGGACTCAACTTGGGAAGCTCGTTGAATATCTAAGGTTCTGGTGGAGGCAGAGAGCTTGAGGGCTTTGAGCGGCGTGCAAGTGCTTAGAGGCTTAGATCATCATTGTGCTGATTGTTGTCGCGAGCCGCCTTGAACTGCAACATCCCTTGTTGTGAACGAACGCCCCTTGTTGTGAACGAACGCAAGTTCTCTTTGACTGCAAGACCATGCAAGATCCCAAGCCCTGGAGCCATGTAACAGCATCTAACATCAGGCCAGCTGCCTTGCTTTCCCACACCTCTGCAGCTCCGAGTGTGGCTTGGCTCAAGAGCCTTGCTATGTGGAAGAAACTGAGGTAGCATGTGATTTTGTTAGATTCGGACGAAAGTTGAAAAACGACAGCCTCCATAGCAGAGGCCGCGATGATGGTACTCGCAGTGAGGATTCAACCGAACAGCCTGATGCAGGCCGGCTGTTGCTTCTATGGCTTGTGCAGGTCTAGGCCGATCATCGTCTCGAGTTCTGGGTGCTGCCTTGCACGATGAACAACTGTTGCTGCACAGAGTCGCATGTTGCCCCAGGGCTTGCGACATCTCGCAAGCCTCAGTATTTCTTGAAAAGAAAAGCAAATGGCAGGAGGCACATCGCCTTGCACAACGCTCAGTGACTGTTGGATGATCTTTCGCAGCGCCAACCCGAAAGCCGTGTTGAAGACGCCCGGCTGACGTTCCTGAGAGTCTGGAGGTGGTCGTTTGTTCGTTCTTGGGGGGCTCAGGGCTCAGGTTTGAGAAGGGCATACGGGTTGCACACCCGCGAAACATACCCACGAAACACACCCTGATACCAACACCTGCCCAGAACAAACCCGTATGTTTTTTCCAGGGTCTGTGTCGGGAGAGTTGTGGTTCGAGCAAAGGTTAGTAAGTTTGGAGTGCCGGTTCCCTTCAAGGCCCGGGAACCTCTGCGCAGATTCTCTTGCTTAGTGTGACGATTGGGAACAGAGTGGCACAGGGCTTCGCGAGGACTCTTTTCGGGATTGCTGAGCTTGTTCCACGGTTAGGAGGCAACACTAGCTCGTGGCTACTTAAAGCCATGCAACTGCCGAGGCACCCGGACGTTTACGTGCCGCCCTTGGACCTCGCGGAGAGTTCGCAGACGTTTGCATATTTTGCACATGTAACAGGGAAGAAGACCGACCCTTCTAGAAATCAGGTCCCAGTCCTCCGGAGGGCGCAGCGCCTCACGGCCCCAAGTTGCTTTCCCTCCACTTGGCATTTGGAGCTCGACCGAAGTGCAGCCCTCGATCCTGCAGCGCCCTTCCCGACGGTCGACACTGGCGGCCACAATGCAGCCCGGGCGCTTGATTGAGCATGCATGAGCTGCTGCTTGCAAGAGCTTTGCAACAAGTTTGCATGTCCACAGTTTTTACAATGCAGACGAGCGGAAGGAGTCCGGCAGAGGCTGGCTACTATTGTCAGCGCATTGCTTTGCAGGAGCTTCCCCCCGGTCTCTCCGTCAAACACCGAGAAAAGGACCCTCCCACGATATAGGGCGCCAAACATTGGAAGGCTTCTTTGGATGACTGTTGCAGGCGACCAGGGTTCCTTGTAGGATGTCTGTGCGAACAGGCCCGTTTGGGCGTTGATTCGAATGCCAGGTCACTGCCATTGCTGTTGATTCTTCTCGCTGCAGCTTGGAGATCACGGTCATAGCCTGGGACATGGATGCTGCTGGAATGGTTGAGTTTCACAGAGCGATCTGGGAGGAGGCAGAAAGGGGCAGGGAGAACATCGATGCTGCTGATTTTCGAATACCAACGGCAGGCACCTTGTGGGATTTTGACTGCCGCTTCGATATGCCATCTGGCACAGTGCAGACACACGGGGATGTGGTGAGCTATAGCTTCCTCAGCGAGCTTCCGGGAGCCGTGGATGCCCCCGTACTAAGTGTGCGATGTGAGGCTCCACAGGTCCCAAAGATAGCAGAGGCGGAGCTCATGGCGCCCCCATCGTCGGTCCTTCTGACGCGATCTGTGCGTGCACTCCCTGAGATGCCATCCCTTCGCCTCCGGGTTCCACTGAGGGAGGCCCGGCGGCCGCGCATCCGCACAGCGCTCTGCAATTCGCAGGTCTGGGGGGCTCAGTCCCTCCAGGAGCTGGCTCCGAACCTCATGGAGTTCTGGCTGCTGTACTACAGCGAGCATCTGGGGATCGATGAGATCTATCTGTATGATTTGGACGGATCTTTTGGTAGTGTCCCGCTCGTTCAGGAACTTCGTGCCAGTGGGCGTGTAGTCTACGAGCCATCCTTTTCCAGCATACCGCCCTTCAAGGACTTGTTTGAGCTGGAAGGCTACAAGACCGCCACAACTCACCTGGTGCAAACCCTTGTGCAGCACCATTGTTGGCAGCAGGCAAGGCAGAATGCTGACTGGGTCGCCCCCTCAGCTGTGCAGCAATCTGTTTGCAACAGTGGAGAAGATTCTGCTGTTGACAGCGCAGGTCATCTCTCTCAACCATGGCTGGGACATGTTCCTTTTCTCTCCTGCGGGCCAAACGCTCGAGGACTTGCTTCAGGACCAGTGGATTCAGCAGATGAACAGCAGATGAACAGCCGGAGATGCTACAGTAGAATCTGAACTGAAATCTGAACCCCACTCGTCTGTTACCCAAAAACTGGGAGCCAGGATCTGGAACCGGACCAGGTCACGAGCGTTCTGGGAGTCCGTTACGGTGATCTGGACGAGTTTGATGCCAAGGTCGCAGATTGAATAGCAGGTGAATAGCAACTGCTTCGATTGTGCCGAGTACAAGCACGTGTCAGCCAGTGTCAGCATGTGCCAGCAACAGCCTGCAAAACTCAAAGCGACAAGCTGTTTCATATTGTTTCATGTTCCTGATGTGGTTGTCTGCTGGGGACATTTTGTGCTTTGGACAGGTCAGGCCGAGTGGAAATACGTGCAGCGCTCAGAGGATTAAGCGAACGCTGCGCGTCGATGTTCAGTTTCAGTAGGCTAACAGGAGTAGGCTAGCAACGGCTCCTGACAAACGCTCCTAGCATGATTTCACATATTTCATATTTCTTTTCAAGTACCTGGTCAAGTTGGAGTGTTGAATTGTGGCGGCATCGCCTCAACTTCTGAGTCTGAAGTTGTCCGAAGCTGAAGCCGTGCCTGAGGATCTGCCAAATCAGGCTCCCGATGTTGCTCCAAAACATAACGGCACGCCCTAAACTCCCTTAACACTGAGCATCGTGACCCGAAACATGGACACTGTCCTGAGCCAACTCTGTCGGTCGTGCATGTGGCGTGCTGCAAGCCCCAAGGGCGTCCCTAAGGGGGTCAAAACTGGAAAAGGTGAAACATTGCGTTGCTGGGATTTTGAAGACAAGCTGGTCCATGTCACGGATTTTATGGGAACCTGCGAGGACTTTCATTGCCATGTTCTGCAGAAGTGCCCTGAGGTTCATCCGTTTTCCATATCACAATGATCCTGAGATTCGGCCCGAGAAGCATCGAAGTGCTGAAGAGATCGTGGTCATTGCAAAGCCTTCCTTGATAGACGGCGTTGCGCTCAGCGCTGTCGTTGTCCGCCCAGAAGCTCCATTGTTTTCGAACCTTCTGGAGCACCCATTGCCTTGTCCAAAGGGGCAATCGCGGGAGTTTGCTGGGCCAATGATGCACAAGGCCCAATGGCTGGATGCAGGGAAGTGGCGTGCGAATCATTACGTACAAGCCCTGGGCGGTCGCAAAGTGCTTTATCGTGCGGAGGACTGGAAGGGTTACGGACATGTCGATGTCTCGTGAACAATGTCGTAGACAGTGCCCGGCTTGAGGCGCAGACACAAATCAAGCTCTGGAGCCACATTTGGTTATGTGGAGGGGTGAAGACAGTTCTGTTTAGTTTCCAGTACAGCAGTTTGATGGAATTGAGCAGAGAGGAGCGTTGCCACGGTATGCCACAGTATGCCCACAGTGGCAGAATGAAAAGACTGCTGACTCCAGGAGCCAATGGTTGCGCTGCGCAACTTCTCCACATTCGACGCTGCGGCAGTTCAGCTTGGCTCTGAACTTCAAGAGAGATGGAAGCATCGCTGGTGAACAGGAGGCTGCGTGTCAAGCAGGCGAATGATCTTAAGGGCTGGCCAAGCTCCGGGCTGATGGAGCCAGTCTGTGCCATCTTTCCCAGTGCAGAACTAAACAGCTTCAGAGCCTGAGGTCCCTGAACTATTCAGCCGCCCTGTGTAGCAAAGGGGCAGCCCTGAGAGGCCTTGAAAGCGCCTTGATGGGATCCGGAGAGCATGTTGGACCTGGACAATGCCCTAGCAGTGCTGCTGAAGGAGGCTGGTCCAACACCCAAACGGAACTTTTTCTAGGGTTTGGGCTTCGGTTTTACAGGAAGGGAGGGTTTAGGCAAGAAAATGAAAGGCTTCAGGGTTTGGGTTTTGGGGTTACAGGGTCTCCAAGAAAGCGTTGGGCTTAGGGTTTTGGGATTTAAGGCTTATCAGGGGTTTAGGGAGTACACATCACGCACAAGCGTATATAGGCACATGTAGGTATACACAGGTGTATAGACGCACAGAAAAGGGGGGGGTGTATATTGTACATCCCTGATACGTGACTGCTGCAAGACTTAGGCTGCTTTCACCTAAAACTTGACCCAAACAACTTCACCAGCATTTTTGGAGTAATTGAAGCGTGCCTTGCAGGATCCATGATTCGGAGCCAGATTTGCAGCTCTTGGTGAGCAAGTCCAAGCAGTGACATCAGAGATGGCCCTCGTCAAGCGGCTCGATCTAACGATCTTTAAGCCTTGATGTGGTCTTGGGGATGATGCCTTCTGGAGGCCTTCCTTGTTCAGGGGTTTAGGATGTGGTCATGAACCTAAAGGATGCAGTCTTCATTTGACCATTCGTTCTTGTGCTTGAATTGAACTATAATTCATCTGATCGTTTTAGTGCCTGATAGTTTGGAGCCTGCGACCACGGCGCTCAGGGGATGGAGACTCGCAGGTCCTCCCCGTCAGCTCCTTTTCAAGTCGTTGCTCTCTGGAAACGCACGAGGTCAGAAGTGTGCTAAAGGACGGGCGACAAGACGCCAGTTGTCACACACAGCCATGCGCAAGTTGGGAACGTTCTCGTGTCGAGCCTTGAAGGTTTCCACGAGATTCCACGAGCACGCCTGGATATGTCTTAAGATCTAGGCCCGTGTTAATGTAGGTTGTCTTGCTCCACCCTCAGAAGTAGGAGCACTCGTTGCGAATATTTTTCAGCAGCGTGGCGGTACCCGAGCTTCGACCACCATGATACCCTCAAACAAAGAGCAAAAACATGCGACGAACTGGTGCTGCATCCTCACTTTCCTCACATTGCGAGTCACTGGCAGCAGCCTCGCACATGTCTGGCCCATCGAGATTTTGGCTCAGACGTGGTCACAAGTACCGTTCGCATTGATTGCCAGCGAGATGTGGGTACACAGCTCAGACATCACGATCCTGGAGTGAAGCTTTTGCACTTGCCCACTTGTTTACTGCCCGTGATGGAGAGGCGAAGAGTGGATTGATTGGAACGCTGTGTGGCTTGGTCCGACTTGCCGAAATGTTAACATGTTAACAAGGTGCAAAACCGTAAGTTTGGGAGAGCCTGAGGCGGCATTGCCCTGGCGACCAACCCCACCCACTATGGCAACCCATCTACGGGCTGCGAATCCGACGAGGTCGCCGTTCGCGTCAGTGGCCTCTCCGGCGACTTCTGCAGTCCCAAGTGCGACAGCCAGGGCACCTGCCCCAGCGATGTGCCCAAGGGCGACACCGCGACTCCGCAGTGTGCTCTCAAAACCACGACTGGCGACAAGTACTGTGGACTGATCTGCCAGGCTGACTCTGACTGCGGCACCGTGCCTGCAGCTACTTGTGTCATCTTATGTAGTCGCCGAACACGCGGCAGCTTCGGACAGGTGTGTAGCAGTGCAGCACAGCGAGCTTCGCTGAGGCACAGGAAGCTGCCAGAAGATGATGGGAATTGGTCTGTGCACCTACGCGTCGTCTGTCAACAAAACAGTTGCGGCAGTTGCGGCAGTTGCCACTCAGGTGCGGAGTCCCAAATAGTCAGAAAACTCAGGCTTCGGATGGCGGAGCTTTCTAGCCACTGCTAGTTTTTTGTTCCTAAGCCTTTCTGGTGAGCGTGAACCTCTTCATGGAAAAAAGGAGGGTTGCAAGTGGGATGCACAGGGTCGAGAGTATCAGTATTGAAAACACAAATTGGGTCCTGTATATCGGAAGTCACGGAGGCACCGTGCAGCTTGACAAGGCTGAAATTGGGTTTTGGGCCTCAGGTGTTGTTGGAGGTCCTTTTGAGACTTGAGACTCAACCTGCGCAGGTGTCTGTGACCACCAACCCTAGCCACTATGGGAACCCCAAGACCGGCTGTCAAGCTGGTGAGGAGGCTGTGCGTGTTAGCGGCATGTCCGGGGACTTCTGCAGCCCCAAGTGCGACAGCCGCGACGCCTGCCCCAAAGACATGCCTCAAGGGGCCTCCGCGGACCCAGAGTGTGCGCTTCGAACTGGTTCGGGGCAGAAGTACTGTGCCCTCCTCTGCGCTTCGGACTCGGACTGTGGACGCTCGACCTCTCAGCTCTTTTTGAAGTTTTTTGCTCTGCTGAGTCCGTGTTAGTCACCTGCTCTGCTTGTTAGTCTTTTCAATGCTTGTAATGCTTTTTTGAGACCTTCCGTACTCCTTGACTCTGTCTCTTTCAGTCGGAACTGGCCGAGGCCAGGGCCTTTGCCAGCACATTCTTGGCACCGGGATTTGCACTTACACATCCACCGAAACCAGAGATCCGAGCAGCCTGCAGGCACAGGAAAAGCCTGCATAGCCTTAATCTCTTTCTGACTGCCTCGCACAGTCCTTGAAGGTGTTGCAATGCGTTGTGCTTTTCTTTTCTCTCCCGGACATGAGACAAACAGTGGGTTCTCTCCTCAGAAGAAGCATTGAAAAGCCGGGGGGACGCCAAAAAGCCAGGGCCAGCATCATCATGGGACGTCGAATATGGGGATTTCGGCAACAATCCAGGTCTGCCCAATAAGCCTCGCAGCCCTGGTTGCTCGATTTTCCCACTGCGTGAAACCCGAGCGCACGAGAGCTCTTCCAAAAGAAACGCTTCTGAAGCTTGGGTTTCGTTCATGGATTTGGCAGAGAGAGTCCGCATTGTGTCCCATCTGTTCCGTCATGCTGTTTGGGGTCTTCAACGTCAAGAATTGCAAGAGGCTACTCCGGCTGTTGGGAGCTCGATGAGAATTAATAATTGCATCTTTCAAGTTCTATTCAGCTGAGTTGCTTGCAGGTATCCATCACTGTGTGTTAGGTCACCGCGAGAGGGGTGTGAAAGTGCTGAGAAAGCATCGCTTGTCTTTTGGGCAAGTTAGATTAGTGTCCTGCAGGTGGCCGTGGCGACCAACCCCACCCACTATGGCAACCCATCTACGGGCTGCGAATCCGACGAGGTCGCCGTTCGCGTCAGTGGCCTCTCCGGCGACTTCTGCAGTCCCAAGTGCGACAGCCAGGGCACCTGCCCCAGCGATGTGCCCAAGGGCGACACCGCGACTCCGCAGTGTGCTCTCAAAACCACGACTGGCGACAAGTACTGTGGACTGATCTGCCAGGCTGACTCTGACTGCGGCACCGTGTCTGCAGCTACTTGTGTCATCTTATGTAGTCGCAGAACACGAGGCAGCTTCTGACAGGTTGTAGCAGTGCAGCACAGCGAGCTTCGCTGAGGCACAGGAAGCTGCCAGAAGATGATGGGAATCGGTCTGTGCACCTATGCGTCGTCCATCGCGAAGGCGCTGCCAGCCGTGATGACCCAGGTGGGGTGTGTTAGGTCAATGCGAGAGTGTGAAAGTGCTGAGAAAGCATCGCTTGTCTTTTGGGCAAGCTAGACGAGTGTCCTGCAGGTGGCCGTGGCGACCAACCCCACCCACTATGGCAACCCATCTACGGGCTGCGAATCCGACGAGGTCGCCGTTCGCGTCAGTGGCCTCTCTGGCGACTTCTGCAGTCCCAAGTGCGACAGCCAGGGCACCTGCCCCAGCGATGTGCCCAAGGGCGACACCGCGACTCCGCAGTGTGCTCTCAAAACCACGACTGGCGACAAGTACTGTGGACTGATCTGCCAGGCTGACTCTGACTGCGGCACCGTGTCTGCAGCTACTTATGTAACCTTATGTAGCCACAAAACACGAGGCAGCTTCTGACAGGTTGTAGCAGTGTAGCACAGCGAGCTTTGCTGAGGCACGGGAAGCTGCCAGAAGATGATGGGAATTGGTCTGTGCACCTATGCGTCGTCTATCGTGAAGGCGCTGCCAGCCGTGATGACCCAGGTGGGGTGTGTTAGGTCAATGCGAGAGTGTGAAAGTGCTGAGAAAGCATCGCTTGTCTTTTGGGCAAGTTAGACGAGTGTCCTGCAGGTGGCCGTGGCGACCAACCCCACCCACTATGGCAACCCATCCACGGGCTGCGAATCCGACGAGGTCGCCGTTCGCGTCAGTGGCCTCTCCGGCGACTTCTGCAGTCCCAAGTGCGACAGCCAGGGCACCTGCCCCAGCGATGTGCCCAAGGGCGACACCGCGACTCCGCAGTGTGCTCTCAAAACCACGACTGGCGACAAGTACTGTGGACTGATCTGCCAGGCTGACTCTGACTGCGGCACCGTGTCTGCAGCTACTGATGTAACCTTATGTAGCCACAAAACACGAGGCAGCTTCTGACAGGTTGTAGCAGTGTAGCACAGCGAGCTTTGCTGAGGCACGGGAAGCTGCCAGAAGATGATGGGAATTGGTCTGTGCACCTATGCGTCGTCTATCGTGAAGGCGATGCCAGCCGTGATGACCCAGGTGGGGTGTGTTAGGTCAATGCGAGAGTGTGAAAGTGCTGAGAAAGCATCGCTTGTCTCTTGGGCAAGTTAGATGAGTGTCCTGCAGGTGGCCGTGGCGACCAACCCCACCCACTATGGCAACCCATCTACGGGCTGCGAATCCGACGAGGTCGCCGTTCGCGTCAGTGGCCTCTCTGGCGACTTCTGCAGTCCCAAGTGCGACAGCCAGGGCACCTGCCCAAGCGATGTGCCCAAGGGCGACACCGCGACTCCGCAGTGTGCTCTCAAAACCACGACTGGCGACAAGTACTGTGGACTGATCTGCCAGGCTGACTCTGACTGCGGCACCGTGTCTGCAGCTACTTATGTAACCTTATGTAGCCACAAAACACGAGGCAGCTTCTGACAGGTTGTAGCAGTGTAGCACAGCGAGCTTCGCTGAGGCACAGGAAGCTGCCAGAAGATGATGGGAATTGGTCTGTGCACCTATGCGTCGTCTGTCGTGAAGGCGCTGCCAGCCATGATGACCCAGGTGGGGTGTGTTATTTCAATGCGAGAGTGTGAAAGTGCTGAGAAAGCATCGCTTGTCTTTTGGGCAAGTTAGACGAGTGTCCTGCAGGTGGCCGTGGCGACCAACCCCACCCACTACGGCAACCCATCCACGGGCTGCGAATCCGACGAGGTCGCCGTTCGCGTCAGTGGCCTCTCCGGCGACTTCTGCAGTCCCAAGTGCGACAGCCAGGGCACCTGCCCCAGCGATGTGCCCAAGGGCGACACCGCGACTCCGCAGTGTGCTCTCAAAACCACGACTGGCGACAAGTACTGTGGACTGATCTGCCAGGCTGACTCTGACTGCGGCACCGTGTCTGCAGCTACTTATGTAACCTTATGTAGCCACAGAACACGCGGCAGCTTCTGACAGGTTGTAGCAGTGTAGCACAGCGAGCTTCGCTGAGGCACAGGAAGCTGCCAGAAGATGATGGGAATTGGTCTGTGCACCTATGCGTCGTCTGTCGTGAAGGCACTGCCAGCCGTGATGACCCAGGTGGGGTGTGTCAGGTCAACGCGAGAGGGGTGTGAAAGTGCTGAGAAAGTACGCTTGTCTTGAGGGCAAGTTAGATGAGAGTCCTGCAGGTGGCCGTGGCGACCAACCCCACCCACTACGGCAACCCATCCACAGGCTGCGAATCCGACGAGGTCGCCGTTCGCGTCAGTGGCCTCTCCGGCGACTTCTGCAGTCCCAAGTGCGACAGCCAGGGCACCTGCCCCAGCGATGTGCCCAAGGGCGACACCGCGACTCCGCAGTGTGCTCTCAAAACCACGACTGGCGACAAGTACTGTGGACTGATCTGCCAGGCTGACTCTGACTGCGGCACCGTGTCTGCAGCTACTTATGTAACCTTATGTAGCCACAGAACACGAGGCAGCTTCTGACAGGTTGTAGCAGTGTAGCACAGCGAGCTTCGCTGAGGCACAGGAAGCTGCCAGAAGATGATGGGAATTGGTCTGTGCACCTATGCGTCGTCTGTCGTGAAGGCACTGCCAGCCGTGATGACCCAGGTGGGGTGTTAGGTCAACGCGAGAGGGGTGTGAAAGTGCTGAGAAAGTACGCTTGTCTTGAGGGCAAGTTAGATGAGAGTCCTGCAGGTGGCCGTGGCGACCAACCCCACCCACTACGGCAACCCATCCACGGGCTGCGAATCCGACGAGGTCGCCGTTCGCGTCAGTGGCCTCTCCGGCGACTTCTGCAGTCCCAAGTGCGACAGCCAGGGCACCTGCCCCAGCGATGTGCCCAAGGGCGACACCGCGACTCCGCAGTGTGCTCTCAAAACCACGACTGGCGACAAGTACTGTGGACTGATCTGCCAGGCTGACTCTGACTGCGGCACCGTGCCTGCAGCTACTTGTGTCATCTTATGTAGCCACAGAACACGCGGCAGCTGCTGACAGGTGTGTAGCAGTGCAGCACAGCGAGCTTCGCTCAGGCACAGGAAGCTGCCAGAAGATGATGGGAATTGGTCTGTGCACCTATGCGTCGTCTGTCGTGAAGGCGCTGCCAGCCGTGATGACCCAGGTGGGGTGTGTTAGGTCAATGCGAGTGTGAAAGTGCTGAGAAAGTACGCTTGTCTTGAGGGCAAGTTAGATGAGTGTCCTGCAGGTGGCCGTGGCGACCAACCCCACCCACTACGGCAACCCATCCACGGGCTGCGAATCCGACGAGGTCGCCGTTCGCGTCAGTGGCCTCTCCGGCGACTTCTGCAGTCCCAAGTGCGACAGCCAGGGCACCTGCCCCAGCGATGTGCCCAAGGGCGACACCGCGACTCCGCAGTGTGCTCTCAAAACCACGACTGGCGACAAGTACTGTGGACTGATCTGCCAGGCTGACTCTGACTGCGGCACCGTGCCTGCAGCTACTTGTGTCATCTTGTGTAGCCACAGCACACGCGGCAGCTTCTGACAGGTGTGTAGCAGTGCAGCACAGCGAGCTTCGCTCAGGCACAGGAAGCTGCCAGAAGATGATGGGAATTGGTCTGTGCACCTATGCGTCGTCTGTCGTGAAGGCGCTGCCAGCCGTGATGACCCAGGTGGGGTGTTAGGTCAACGCGAGAGGGGTGTGAAAGTGCTGAGAAAGTACGCTTGTCTTGAGGGCAAGTTAGAGGAGTGTCCTGCAGGTGGCCGTGGCGACCAACCCCACCCACTACGGCAATCCATCCACGGGCTGCGAATCCGACGAGGTCGCCGTTCGCGTCAGTGGCCTCTCCGGCGACTTCTGCAGTCCCAAGTGCGACAGCCAGGGCACCTGCCCCAGCGATGTGCCCAAGGGCGACACCGCGACTCCGCAGTGTGCTCTCAAAACCACGACTGGCGACAAGTACTGTGGACTGATCTGCCAGGCTGACTCTGACTGCGGCGCCGTGCCTGCAGCTACTTGTGTCATCTTATGTAGTCGCAGAACACGCGGCAGCTTCTGACAGGTGTGTAGCAGTGTAGCACAGCGAGCTTCGTTGAGGCACAGGAAGCTGCCAGAAGATGATGGGAATTGGTCTGTGCACCTATGCGTCGTCTGTCGTGAAGGCGCTGCCAGCCGTGATGACCCAGGTGGGGTGTGTTAGGTCAATGCGAGTGTGAAAGTGCTGAGAAAGCATCGCTTGTCTTTTGGGGAAGTTAGACGACTGTCCTGCAGGTGGCCGTGGTGACCAACCCCACCCACTATGGCAACCCATCTACGGGCTGCGAATCCGACGAGGTCGCCGTTCGCGTCAGTGGCCTCTCCGGCGACTTCTGCAGTCCCAAGTGCGACAGCCAGGGCACCTGCCCAAAGGACCGAGTGAAACACTCTTCTATTTCTTGTTTGCGTGCGTGCGTGGGTGGGTGTGCGTGCGTGCGTGCGCTTGGGTGCGCGTGCGCTTGCGTGCGCTTGCGTGCGCTTGCGTGCGCGTGTGTGCGTGCGCTTGCGTGCGCGTGCGTGCATGTGCGTGCGCGTGCGTGCGTGCCCGTGCGTGCGTGCGTGTGGTGGGGCCACGCATTCTGAGCCTTGAAGGACATTCCCAAGGGCGACACCGCAGTCCCAGAGTGCGCCCTGCGCACTACCACTGGGGACAAGTACTGCGGGCTGATCTGCAGATCTGACTCAGATTGCGGTGTGAGGCTCAGCTTCGGCACGTGTTTGTCACACGAATCGTAAGAGTTCGTTGAAAGGACAAGTGGTGTCATCACATGCGACTGGTCACGGCGTAGACAGATTAAGCATGTCGCTGCAAGCCCGCTAAGCACGAGCTCCCGCACCCTGTCATTGTCTCCAAAGAGGGTCGAGGCTCACAATAGGATACTCAGCTCTACAAACCCTAGACCCGATACATGTCTAAAGCCCTTTTTAAGCTCGAGTGGTGTGTCGGCCCGAGGCGTCGGCTCATGTGAGATGAGCTCAGGTGTTGGCCTCTGCACCTTGGCTTTACCTGGGTAATGCTTGACAGATGGTGCCAGTAGAGCGTTCAGATCCTGATGATCTGCAGCAGCTCTGATGCACATCACCATCACACATGCTCATTCGTGCCAGCTGCCAGGCACCTACACCGCCAAGGCTGCAGCACGGCCGCTGCAACTTCTTCCTGCCGAGGTCCACGCTGTTAAATGTGTTTTGAGGCCGAAGTCTAAGTTGGACCTATACATTTCTCAGTTCTCCAAGAGGGTGGCCCAGGAATTGAGTCATTGAGGGCTCTGAGGGCTTTAGGCTTTCAAGTGCAGTAATGGCCATGCCTCCCCGCTTTTGCACCTGCTCCCTTAGTCTTGCCATCGTTGTTGCTGCCACTCCTGCTGTCGGCTCCAGGCATGTCCGGTCGGTTTGTTCTAGCTTTCCCTTTTTTTGCGGACATCCTTCTCACTCTAGGGCCTCGTGCGGTAGGGCTTGTTGTGTGATTGCGGTGGCGGTTGGCGATTGGCTGTGTAAGTTCTTCAGTCCGCAGTTCTGGCTCCTCGCCCACATGAGTTGAGTTTCGGCAAGACGCGCCCAGGCTTCAAATGTGAACCTTCGGTGCTGCAAAGCTTGAAAGAGATATTCAAAGTTATATGCTTGGTTCAGACACTTCAGCCCGAACCACCTGGCACCAGGCGGCACAGATCATCGTCTAAGCACGTTCAAGGCCCGGCTTTTTGTTGTTCTTTTCGGCTGCAATCTCAGATCCTAGAAGACGGTGCTGCTTGTTGAAGTCGTGGTGCTAGTTTGTCCCACGTGGTTCACGTGGAGACAGAGTCGACTCAAGTTTAGCAAGTAAAGTGCCCAGAGCCCACAGCAGCCTGCAAGCGAGCCCCTTCAGCTACAAGCAGTGTAACACATCTTGACGCTGCGCAAGATCGACCGACCGAGCCAGTCAGGTGATCTTCTTCCCAAGCGGGTGCCCAGCGCTCGCATGCGAGATGTTCTTTCGCGGGCAGCTTGTGGGAAGCTAGAAGAAGGTCGCCAGGTAAACTTGTGTTGAAGGGCTGATAGCTTGGGTTGTGGTTTGGCAGTACTGGTCATTAAAGATCTCAGAAAGATGTCAGCTTCAGGCCCAGAGACGGGCTTGGAGGACGGTTAAGAAATCGGGTCTCAACTGTTCGGGCTTGACGATTCCACGGTGATACTCCCTTGGCGCACCTGCGGTCGGAGCACCACGCAAGCCCAGCGAAAGATTTTACTGTGATAGGCTAGGGAAAGTGGAGCTTTACGAGAGAGCTCGAACGTGGCAAGCCTTTGAATGCTGGCCTCGAAAGTACAACTCTTCTGTTGAGCTGTTGAGCAGACTGTAGCCTTTCGGCCACCAACACCGTCACACACCTTCCTTTAGGAGCTCACTGGGCCGACTTCTGACTTCGGTCTCTCGTGAAGTGTTCACAGCTGCTGCCCTGTGCCCTCGGTGCCGCCGCCACTCTTGCAAGATCTCTTAGAGTCTTAGGGTCACGCCCTCAGAGCCTGAATTACACAAGGCCCCTCAGCCCACCTCAACCCAAGCTCCCACAGCCATCATGCCATCAGTCGAATAGCTATCGAACCCCTCAACCTTAAAAGTCCTGAAGGTTTGTAAACTCCAAAAACGCTTCCACGCTTGGGCCTTTTGGAAACGGAGGGGTACTCCCAAAAAGGTAAGGAAGTTCTTACTTGAGGAATTTCCCCCAAGCCCCAAATGCGCCTGGGGCGGCACTGCCAGTGGAGCACTGGGCCGGCACTCGCCACAGCGAAGGGGACGGAGCATGGCAGTTGCCTTATGGATTGACAGTTGCGATATCGTCTTAAGAACCTAAGAAGCCTGAAGCGGAAGTCCGTGTTGAAAAGTTGAGCAGTTCAAACCTTCTGAAGACCTCTGAGACCCCTTTTCGCCACAGAGAAAGAGAGCAATCAACGAGTTGCGGCGTACATTTCGTAGAGCCTGATTGGGGCCGCCGCACCTCCGTTGTTGAAGTCACAAGGGAAGCTCGAAGTGCTCTGAAACGCGCCCTTGGGCAAGCCATCCATGTAGATGTCTATGTCTATGTCTATGTACATGTGTAGGTGTATGTATATGTATATGTATATGTATATGCATATGCGTATGCATATGGATATGTATATGTGTATGTGAATGCTGTCTATGTCTATGTGTATGTGTATGTGCATGTATATGGATATGTATATGTACATGTATATGTATATGTATATGTGTATGTACGTACGTAAGTATTTATGTCCGTATGCATGTATATATAGAAGCTAAGCTAGAGTTCGTAAGCGAGCTGAAAAGGCTTGACTGAAAGACTTAGCTGAACAGGTATGCGTAAGAACCTCGCTATAGAAGGAAAAGTTGGACGGTGAGGGGAGAGCATTTGCAGAGCTTCCCAGGCTCTCGTCTGAGTTGATTCAGAGCCACTTGTGAAAGCGGGTTGGACAAATGAGCGTCACGTTGGAGTCCTTCTAGTGCTGCTTTCAATGTCTCTGGTGGTCGAAACTGCACCATTCAAGGTGCACGGTTCCGGTATCCCATGTCAAGCAGAAGGAGGGCACGTTATAGCATGCTCGATCGGATGGCTTCATCAAACCCTAATCTCGACAGCACCTACAATGCAGCCTGGCCTGGCCGTCATCAGCTTCGTGTAATTCATGCTCAGTCGCTTGAGGTTGTGCGGGGGGTGGCGTTTTTGGGTTGCCATACGGTTCTTGCAGCTCCTCTGCTTGGCATGCCATGGCTCTTCTGGTGGATCATCGCTGCTGTGCCCAATGCAGCCGCTTTCGGAGACGACTGGCCCCTGCGCCAGGACCGCGAAAGGGTGAGAGTTCTTGAGAGGCACGATGATGAAAGATGCAGAGGGGCTCTGCATCAGTGTTACATCTTGGGAGCTTTACAAGGGAGCTGTCACTTGCTTGCCAGTGGACAACACTCTACCCATGGTGCCATGCTAACTACAGAGGTAGTGCGGATGGATAGACAGCGCCTGTTTGCAGCCCACCTTTTTGTGAGGATCCGTAACAGATTGTAGATCTCGAGAGTTTCACGGGCCGTGCAGCCAAGAGAAAGTCCAACTCCGACAAGTCGTAGGTAGAAGTTGTCACGGTGATCGTTCCCGAGCGTGAGGGTCGTTCTTGGGGCTGGTTGTGGGGTGTTATTGACACCTCGAGCGGAAACCGCCTTCTTTCGTGAAGCGCCTGGAGCCTCAAAATCCACGCCTGTGGCATGCAGGTCTGCAGCGACATCGGAGGAGTGACTGTGTCAGCAAGGTTCAGCAGGAAAGGGCTCTGTCATAATCAAGCGCCGCAGAGCACAGGCTTTGTAGGGCTTGTCTAGGTCTCTTCATAGGGTTGGCGACTGAGCGTTGTAGCCTTAAGTGGGAAAAGACAGGGCTCGGGTCGGCGACTCAAGCCATTGTCTCCCAAGGTGAAGTGGATCCGAATACGCAAGTGGCTCTGGCGCCAGGCGCGGATGAAGAAATCCAGGGCCCATGCTCTGAGTTTCCCAAAACCTGGGCATCCCAGAAAGAAGCAGAGGTCAGCATCACGGACTTCGGCCATGCCTTGAGCGCCAAGGACTCTTGTGGGACTCCAGAGTTTTTTGTTTGGGGGGGGGCATCTGGTGCCCGGTGCGCAGCAGTAGGCCGGAATATCTTGTAGATTGTTTCTTGTTGCCGAGCGCTTTGCAGGACGCCCGGCAAATGGCATGGGTGTCCGGGCCTCACAGCTGTGAGTTAAATCCCAAGAGCACACCGCTGCTTGGTACTGTTGCTCTTTCGCAGTTGGCTTTCCTAGGCAAGAAGGGGGCAATCCTAGAGGTGGTTTGGCATCCTCGGTCCCACTGACATGACATGGCCATGAGCCGTGGCCATGTGCCACCTCCACCGAAACATCCGTAATCTCAGTGCCTATGACTTGGATGGTGACGATGCTGGGGTATGGTGAGCAGCTAGAAGCACTGGACTTCTTCGCACGACTCTGGACCACAAAACTCTGATGTCGTGTCACTCGAGTCCAGGTCCATGCAGACGGTGCGGAGCTACGGACATGGCCACACGCTCGAAGAGGCCTGCGATTGCACGCGCTTGCACCTTTGCGTCATCGGAGGGCGCTTCAGGGCCGAGGTTTGGAGCATAGCAAGAAGTCTTGGGGCTCTTCGGCCATTCACCATGCTGCGTTTGTTTAGCTGCTGGCGAAACTTATGTCAGAGTCCCGGCCCCGGGGTCCATGCGAAAGCCCCTCCTGGGAGGTCTGTTGGCTGGGGGTGCTCTCCCTTCAGTTCTGGGAGCTTGTGATGAAGTTTCCGCTGCTCTACCCTCATGAGCTGGAGGCTCGGCCAAGAGCTGCACACGTGTCATCCCAGTAACAGCTGTCAATGTTTTCACTTGAAGCCTGAGTGGTCTGCTCCAGGATGAGTGGAGACTGCTGGCCAGTGCGGACTGGACTCTGCTGCTCAGTTCTTGTACTGTTGGACAGTGCCTCCCGTTCCAGTTGAAACGTGAACGTCCAAGGCTGCTCGTGTCGGAGTTTCCTATCTTTGGGCTGCTGCGGCAGGCACACCGGGGGTTTCGAGAGTTCATCTCCAAAAACGGTAGCCTGGGGGGGGGGCGGGCCTTATCTTTCGTTGATGCTCTCGTCTGGGAAAATTTCTGACAATCTTATGGCAAAAAACTCCAAGAAGCATGCGCGAGTTCATCTTCACAAGCACTCGGTGAATCAGGGGCAACATCGTGCGTCAATCCATGAAAAAATGGAGACGTTTCGGCGTCGCAGCAATGCACATCGGAGTCTCAGGTATTGCATCAGTATTTTTCCTCAAAAGCAAGGCGCATTCGATCAGTTCGAGCATGGTCTTGCGCAATTGCCATCAGTTGCCCAGCATTAGAGAAGAAGGACAGTACTACGTCACTACGTGGCTCGGCGAAGCTGAAGTTGAAGAGCATATAGCGCGGGAATCGATGCCGATGTCTTTTGTCCGGAAGCAGGAGGTGTTAAGACTGTTAAGCCGAGAAAAAGCGATTGGTTTGTGAATGATTGTGTACAACCTGTCCGTCCTTTCTCAACTTCTTCTGGTCGGTAAGGTTCACTTAGACTCCGGGGTCCCCGGTGTCAGTGCGCTTGCCAAAGTACCAACCGCTGCCCGACATCCAATGCTCTGCAGGCACAATCGACGATCGCATCGTGTCATTTGGCATAATTAAGAGATCGGCATACTCTGATCTGTAGTTTCTTGTTATTGCAAGCAGAGCAGTGCACCATCGACAGCAGCAAGAACCAAGCTAGAACTGAGCACTATAAGGCAAGTACATGAGGGTTGTGCATGTGAGAAGACTTGCGAAGACACACGCCGAGACCCGAAACAGCAAGCAGCCCCCTGTTCCCGAAGCCGGCCAAGCGCAGTTGCCCCCTGAAGTCTTGCATCCCCTTGCTGCGGAACAAAGATTCTGAGGTGAGATGTTCACTCTGGACCTTCGGCCTTCGGACCGCATCAAAGGTGGCTGGGCAGAGCTTGGTTGCCGAGGCCTTCGGCGTTTGATGGATTTTAATGGCCTCTGCTGCTTGGGAACCAGGCTCCGAGCTTGCAGCTCACTAGCTCAGGTCATCGCCTTTGTCCACTCCCTCGTTGCGATCTGCAAGATGATGCAGGTGTGGAGGAGCTCCGGCTTTTGAGTTCCAGACTTCCTGAGCAAGCTCGGCACTTGGGATGGCCCATGAACTTAAGATAGTTAAGACAGTTAAGTGACTTGCTTGTGACTGGCCTGTTCGGGCTTCGTTCTCATGCTATGGTAAGACGCGTTCCTGTGCGCGCGCATCCCGTTCCGCAGGACACTCAGCGCTTCTTTGATGTGCTTGTGAACACGGCGGTGGCAGGGGAAGACGTGTTCATGGTGCTCCCTGGCGTGGTATGAGTTCTCCTGGATCAAAGTTGATGGGCCAGAATTTTCACAAGGTAGCTAGACACCTCTAGACTAAACGGGCCATCTGTGCATCGCCAGCTTCGCAGTGTCGGATCGTGTAATCTAGCTCACCTTACCTGCTCAGGAATCTCCCCGGCGTGCCGCGCTGCCCACTGGGCCGGGCCGCGCAGGTCGCTGAGTCGCTGAGGCCACAACAGCAACTGTGTTGCCCGTTTCTGGACACTTGGCACAGGAACTAGCATTCGCCCTCGTGGATGTCAGCGCGGCTTGCTTAGGGCCTGAGGTTACACATCTCATCTCCAAGCTCAAGGGTTTGAAATGGTTTGAAACACTTCTTCTGCCCGAACCTCGAAAAAAATGGACCCACTGCAAACGTGTTCCATGCCGAAGACCAGTGCACCCATGATGAGGTTGGGAGGATTCGGTGGCTCTTGTCTCTGGACCTTGTGACTTGCCAGGCCGTGCACTATGGTGCTGGTGCCTGGCACCAGATCTCACGTGCAGTCAAGTCTGCCAAGAGCCTGGTGCCCGGGAGTTTGAGGTGACTTACGTTTGGGTTGTCAGCGGGAGTGAGCTGAAGGCTTGAGCGTTGGATAGCGATGTAGGCCTGATGGTTGGCACTCGCGAGTCTAAGGCCCAAAGCTGCAAGGGCCTGAAGATGCCTCAAAGATGCCTCATCAGCTTTGTCCCAGACATGAGCTTTGTGATGTCGTGGGTTTTGAGAGCTGCTTAGGTCGCATCATGCAGTGGCTGGAGGCCTGAGCGCAATGTGTCGCTAGCCCCTGAGGGCACGAGCGACGAGCGGAGTTACCGACTTAAAGTGTTGACTTCCACCAGGGGTGCGTGGCGGGGGAGGAGCCCGGGCGTGCCACAAGAATCGGTAATTCCAAGCTATCATTATGATACACACCCTGGACTCCCTAGCTTGCGTCCAGTCTGGCAGGCAGATCAGGCAGAATATGTTGAACTATGTTGTTGAGCGGCTAAGTGTTCGGGTTCTCAGCCAGGAAGACCTGCCAAAGGCACCACCACGCAGGCGGGCTGCCGCGCAGCTCTGTCACGGGAGTCAAGAATCCCGGGTTGTCATGGTACCGCTGCTTTTCTCGCGCGTTACGAAGAGTAGCAAGATGACTTTTGAGAATACTAGTAGACTAGTGACTAGTGATTAGTAGATGCATGTAGATACAAAGTAGGACATCAAGCAGAGCGCAACCCGAGTTGAGCCAGGGACGAGTTGGGAGTCATCTCCACAGTGAACCCCTTGAGCGAACTCCTGGCCTGGACCCCAGCCCATAGGGTTTGTAAATTCGTACTGCTCCATTGCCTAAAGGCTTGACCAAAGCCGGTGCTGCATCTGCGGTTTTGCTCGGCAGGGCCTTCTCGTGGGGCCCTCGCTAGCCAATGATGGGCATGAAGCCTTCCGATGCTGGTCTTTGTTCCCGCGCCCGATGCTAGTGGAAAAGGTTGCAAGAACCTGCAAACGACTGTACTTGATCAATGCCCTCTACCCTGTAGGCTTCACGTTGGGACGTGCTGGGCCTCTTCCATTCGCTTCAGGCATGCTGTGTAGAGGGCGAAGACTTCAGGGAGGGTTCTGTGGGCGTGGAAGTCAACAGCCGTGGTGTGTCCGGCAGGCTCAGAGCTCGGGAGGAGTAGGATCTGTATTGAGGTTCTTTGCAGAGATTCTTTGAGGCTGCCTTGTAAACATTGCCTCACCTGCCTTGTAAACATTGCCTCACCGACTTCTTCTTTGGATGAGCGCTTTTGTGCTAGGTAGTGCTCCGGCGAAGTGTGGATCGACACCCACATCTTCCTCTGCCTTGGCTGATCGCAGAGGCATGCCGCATGTCGTTCGCTTCTGCCCATCTTATGGGCCCGACGCATATCATGGACCGACTCCTACTGGATATACCTCACGATTTTATTCAGCAGTTTTTTTTCTGGGATCGGAGTACAACTGCCGACGTCCCGCGGAAAAGTGTGGGAGCGTGAGTTTCAGGATTTGCAGGCAAGACGGTCGAAAGCTTAAGGGTCGAGATTCCACAGGGTGGCCATGGCAGCTATCCGAGCTGCCCGGATGGCTCAAGCCGAATGTGGCTTTGGGATGCCTCACCCTGGCGTTGCCCCCCCCACCCTTCTTGAAGCCTCCAAGCCTACACGACAGCCACAAGAAGCGGAAAACCTGGCAACCTCCAGAGTGACTTCGCTGCCAGGGAGCACCGGGGTGGGAGTTGCTGGCCGACACCCACAGCCTGCGTGGCAGCTTCGCCACTCGGAAGATGTCGAGTTTGGATTGGCATACAAGGTTCGACATGCGCTTTTGGTTGGCAACCTGGTAACGCGGTGAAATCACAAAATCCCACCCTCTCCCAACCCAACGAGGTCCGATACCTGCCAGAGCCTTAGGCCCGAGAAAGCGAGACATTTTGGACTTACCTTGGGGGCCTCCTGCGATCGCTATGCGGGGCTGCGGCTTTGAGTGAAGAGATCGTGGAAAGCTTCAATGCTTCAAGCGCTTTTGGCATTTGATGCCGTTGTCCGTTGTGTTTTGGCTCGTTGTAGGGGGTGTCGGAGTGGGCGGCGGATGCTGGTCCAGACACCAGCAAGGCCCCTTACTTTCGTGGGAAGCTAAGGTTTGGGGAAGCTAAGGTTGGGAAGCTAAGGTTCCAAGGGGTTCAGAGATCTCAGACTTTGAGTATCAGCACTCACAAGCTTCCTATAGCTTCATGCAGGTGTCAGCGGACCGGTGGCCTTATTGTCGTCACCGGCCGTGATGGACAGCCCTGCAGCGGCCTTACAGCTGGAGTGAAAAGGGAGCCGCCCCCCCAACGGATACAGGTGTTGACAACGTTGACAACGGGCATCTTTCATCCATAGTGCTGCTGTAGCATACTAGGCTTCTGTAAAGTGCCAGCATTTGTGGGCTTCGGCGTTTGGTGGCGCCATGTTCTTCAGTGGGTCGAATGTCTGCGCAGTCTACATTGCGGAAAATTCGAAGGTCGCTGACCTTCGACCGCCGCTCCCTGCAGACAGGAAGGCGCGGACGTACTGGTAGCCAGATTAGCCAGATGATCAGGTTTCCATATCCTTGGGAACTAGTGCTCATTAGTGGACCATTCCAAGATGTGTCATCGCCAGTGGGACCACTGCCATGCAGAAGATCTGAACTGGAAGTGCGCCTCAGACATAGCCTTAAAGCCTTGAGCATCCTGAAGCAGCATTCTTTTTCCGACGAGGATGGTCGAAAGCGGCCCGGGGGGTTTTGGAGCTCAGAGCCGTGGCCGAGACACCTTTTGAGTGTAGAGGTTCGCCAAGTTGTGCTGGGGCTTCTGGCATCTTGGATGCTTCGGCTAGGTGTAATTATGGTGCGCTCAGGGCTTGCGGCGCGCAGCTAAGGGTTTCTGTGGCTTGTCCGCTTCAGCCCGCTTGCCGTCTGTTGTTTGCTTCTGGCCATCGTTGTCCACCGACCTCGTCGTCCCCTCCGTCCTCATGGTCTCATGGTTGTAGTTATGGTGATGGTGCCTGTGGTGTCCTTTCTGTGTGTTTTGGCTTTTCCCCCAAGAGTGTGCCAACACAAAGTGTGCCAACACAATGGAGCCGCGGTTTTGAGACGCGGTGGGCTCGGACATGGTTGTGGGATCGGCGCTCCAGAAGCATGTGGTGGGGTTTGTGGAAGCGACTGCTCGCAGAGACTTTTCGGAAGCTAAGCCCCGAACTCTTCAACCTTCCTGCCTGCAACAAACAAGATGCGCAACAAACACCTGTCGCGACTTTACGACGCGAAAATGGCCTCTGGACGCGGTTTTGGGAAAGCAAGTTGAGAGCTGCGGGAAGGTCGGCGGAAGGGTTCCGCAAAAGGGAAATACGCTATTTTTCCACCGTTTATGTCATCGAACAAATGTTTCTGCCCGGGACTTTTGCTCTAGGTGGAGGCGTTCTTGCTTGGAGTGCTCCTGGAATGGTCCTGGCGTGCACTCTTGCTAGCTGTCTTGCACTCTTTTGGGTCTACGCTGGCATTACTTGTTGATGATGTGTCGTTGTCATGTTCGCACCTGCCGTGATCGCTAAGGGCAGCAGGTCTACGAAGGGCTCACTGGGGGACCCCTTTGACGAAGATCTCGGTGATATTGGTGGACAAGATGCAGACCAGGATTCCGGCGCCATCAGAACTCGCGTTTGCCTCGACCTCGACAGTGTCTCCCGCGGGCCTGCCGAGGACGAGGACATCTGCGGCGCCCCTCAGCGAACCCATGCTTTCGCTGATCTTCCGACGGTCTCAACTTGGAGCTTTGCCCAGGACGATGAGGATGAGCCCAGCAGTTGTGCACTCTTCGAGTCAGACCATGATTGCGCTGGCGCTGATGTGAAGAAGACCGTGCCAGCACATCCCACATCACCTGGTAAGACCACCACCTCCTGGAGGCTTAAGGACATCATCCTTCGACGCCGCGTAGTTGCCCGCAATTCCCAGAAGCCCCTTGAATCGGACGAAAGCCCTACAGCGAAAGTGCCGCCGCAGTCGCACCAGCTGCCCTCGTTGAGTGCCTTGTCGGCGCGACCCAAAAGCCGGCAGAGCCAGATGCCCAGTCCCACAAAGGCAACCGGGTCCCGAGCAGAGAGGATATCATTCGATGTCGGGGTGCAGCTGAAGGAGGCAGGACGTGTGTGCGTGCGTCCCCATTTGTGCATGAGTGTGTGTGTGTGTGTGTGTGTGTGTGTGTGTGTGTGTGTGTGTGTGTGTGTGTGTGTGTGTGTGTGTGTGTGTGTGTGTGTGTGTGTGTGTCTGTGGCCGTCCGCCGCGTGACGCGAAAGTCGCAATTCCAGAATGATTGAGCACAGTCTTTCTCAGCCAACAAAGCTCCGTGTGGTACAAGCTCCGTGTGGTACAGCCAGATGAACGTGCCTGCAGAGGCTAGCATGCCGGCATGAAGGTCAGAGCCTGTTTCTTTTGTCGAAAACCACGATCGAAAGTTTAAACCCGCCTAGAGCTGTGCCTTGGATCTTGTCACTTGGATTGAAGTTTTCTGCCGGTTCCATAGCCACTGAGCAACCGGATGCCAGCCTCATTCGCACACTGTCACACTACAATTGGAAGTTCAACCAACGGTGACCTTGGCCTTGCGGCGTCTGAGAGCTTGTATGAGAGAGAGCGCCGCATGCATACAGACTGCCAACAGAGATCACAATGATCACACCCCTTGACACATGCATCTTGCCAGCAAGGCTCACCACCCAGTCATTTCGTAAGCGTCTCATTGAGTTCAAGACACACCCCTCATGTCAATTCTTCTCCGACCTCTGTCAAAAATGGCTCGTGCCGACCTTCACAATGTTTGCTGCCAACTGTCTCCTGTGATGTAATCAGCGATGATGACTGCAGCGGAGTAGAGGAGATCGTATGTCACGGCATTTCACGTCATTTGCAGGCCCAGACCAGTGGCCAACCGGGGTTTCCTTCACGATGGCTTGTTGTGTCGGTAGCCTCTGATTCAAGGAACCCTGGTTCTTGGTCTTGCTATATCTGCTATCGTTGTTGAGTAATCTGTTCATCATGGGAGAACTTCCTTTCCATTTCATCAAACCAAGTGTACAAATCAGCACAACAATGTTTTGCACACGCCTCCCGAGAATGCAGGTGTCCATGTCACATGCCACTATTCGAAGAGTCCCACCTAATGGCGCGTAGAGTCCCACCTAATGACGCGTTTTACTCCCGTGACCGACAGCTCCCCTGTGGGAAGGTGGACATCGACTTCACGGAGCAGACCCCGCGGCCCACATCAGGCGCTTGGGCTTGAAAAGTTTAGAAGCCAGTAGAGGTGGCATCGATTGGGTACGGGAGGTTTCAGTTGACGTTGAAGTGCCCTCACGTTGCCAGGCAAAGCGCCAGTGGTGGGCCATAGCCTGGGTTTGCTTATGAAACATCATCTCCGAGAACGCAAGAGCTGCCTCAAATCTTGATTGCTGCCAAGAAGGCTCTGTGCATCGGCACTGGCAGCAGTTAGCAGTCCCTAAACTGCATCCTGCATTGCCAGAGGTGTCCATCGAATCCTTGTTAACCTACCGAGCGCTCACCAGAGTGTTCCTGAGATCTACGCTAGCTTGAAGAGCTCCGGGTTGGCTCCTCAACGATGTGCCACCTTCAACATCTACCCCGCCCCCCCCCCCTGAAAGCGACACACACGTAGGATGGCCCTCTTCGTGATGCGAGGGGCTGCACAAAGGTGTCCCAACATTGCAGCCATAGGCTAGGCAGATGCAGTCCTTCGGTCGCTCAGTTGAGACTACACCTGATCATCAAATGCGTAGGGTTCAAGGTAGATATGGTCAAGAAATTGTAAGCATTTACAAACCTTCACACTTGAGGACATGCCGCTTTTCAGCTTACAAGTGTAAGAGAACGAGCCTGCATGCAGATCACGAGGTTCATGCCTTACAAAGCCAGCGCCAGTTCCGATGCATGCCAGACAGCGTTGAAATGAGCAAGCCCGCTTTGAATCCACGATGTGTGATTGGGCAGCCTTGGGCGGTGTCGTTCCGCTGAGGCTCGTAACCTCTTGCAATCTCTTGCACTTGTCGTAGCGCAGACCAAGCACCGGAGAAACACTTTACAGCTCGCCTCAGAGGTTTGAAGCGCATTGTTGGACTGTGCTGGTAGAGTGTGAGCTGCTTGCCAATCTCCCATCTCGATCAAGCGGGCTTGCACCTGGATAAGGCCTGATAGATCTGCAGGTTGTCTTTAAGAGCAGCGATCAAGCCGATGAAAGCTTGGGGAACACCCAGCTGTCGGTCGCCTGTGGCAGTGGACGCTGCATCTTCCTCCTGAATGGGACAAGCTTGTCTGGATGTGCACCGGCCAAAATGGCAGGGCCGAGGTCGTCAAGAGGACGTGCGACGTGTAGCTAGCTACTGCGGCAGGGCATGAGGCGAGGATGGATTCTTGAGAGTTTCATGTGTGGAATTGTGTGGATCTACCAGTAGCTGCAGCAGTTGAACGTATGCATGAACGTATGCATTTGGCAACCTTCCAGCTGGCCATAGATTTATACAGACATATAATATCAGATACTACAATATGTATATACCAAACCGTACAGGAACGGGAAGAGCCTATTTGTGTAAAAGCTGGTGTTGTGAACATTGAACCGCCACACCTGGGACCCTCCCAGCGCTCCACTCCGAAGCACCCCCCAGAAGCTCCAGAAGCTCTGAGTAGGAGACACCGTTTAGGGTTTAGGGTTTAGGGGCAAGATTTGAGTTGGTCAGTATGCGCGTCTATGCCTGTGGCCAGTCGTTTCAACGTGTTTGCTGTATCCGTAGCGCCGTAGAGGCCTAGTGCTTGGTGATCCTGATTCTGCACAGGGTATTGCTGGGCTCAGTTGGGGTCAAATGCACCACATCCATCACATGACGCCCACTGCCGCAGTGGATCCCGAAGTCATTTTCAGACCGACGAATATGCGCAGAACTTGCAGCAGAAGTGCATATCCACCACCAGTCCTTCGTTTTGCTTTCAGGGAGGTTTTGTATTCAGACATCTAGTTTCATCTAGTTTCGTGGTTGTAGCATGTTTTGTAGCATATGGAGGACGACGATGATTGCCGTCGTGGGTGGACATGCCGCCCTCTGGCTACCAGTTGGGCTACTGCTGCTTTGCTTTACTGTTGGACGGACGTCGCCGTGACAGAAGACAAGAATTCGACCATGCGACATGCACCGGAGTGCTTTTAAGATTTAGGAAGGAAAGTGTGTTATCCATGGGCTCAGCCGGAAACGGCAAGAGGCCCATGTGGAGTTCCCAAGACTCACCAGGAGCACTTGCCTACCATGTACACACCAGTGCTTCTTCATTGCCCCAAGTGGCACAACTTACCTCCCCAACATTCCAGGTGGTAAGTGGCAAGGCAAGCTCATTGTTTCAGCTGTCACTTTGCCTCATCGTTTGTGGGCTGGAACATCATGATAAAGGGAGACCTTTCTCAAGGTTTCTCGAAGAGGGTAGCGTCAGGTGAGCAATACAGCAAGGTTCTCGAAAAGCGCTGAGGCCTCGTGGGAAATAAGAGTAGGACAACATAGGATTGCCAGTGTCGCCGCTTGTGGTCTGCCCAAGTGGAGCGTCGCCATTTCACTATGAGATATACAGACACCCCGGCACGGTGGACTCGTTGTAACATGTAGTATGGCTCTCCAAATCGCGAGTTTGAAGATCCTTGTTAAAGGTGTCAGTTCTAGCTACAGATCTCGATTCGAACTCGGCGTCGCAGTGTGAGGACCACAAGTGATTGCAGGGAAGGTCCCAATGTTTTTCCTGTAGGCGAATTGTGATGACTTTGCTTAACAAAGCACGATTCGAGGAAGCGTGCCCCAAAGCTGCAAGTTGTCCCACGTGTTTGGTTTTCATCCGGTTGGGCCAGTTGGCAGCTAGGGTCGAATCAGACCTGTTTGGAGCCCGTTACTGTAGCCGTGTCACTATGCAATTGGCCAGTGTGTGTCTGTGTGTGTGTGTGTGTGTGTGTGTGTGTGTGTGTGTGTGTGTGTGTTTGGGTGTGTGTGTGTGAGAGAGTTGTGCAGAGTTGTGCAGAGCCATGTTGTATACCACAAGCAACCTGAACTGAGCGACGAAGCGGTTTACAGATCTTACAGAACTGATTACACAGCTTTGAAGCGGAAGCCCAGGGGATAAAAGAGCGGTCTGGTGGAGGTGAAGGCCAGGACTCAGGACACTCAGGTTTTAAGTGTTCTAAGCCTGCATCCTCAAAGTCTGCAGCGGGGACCCCTTGCTCATCGCAGCTTTGGAAGACACAGCCCTCGTGATGGCGGGGGCGGAAAATTGAGTTGATCGCGTCCCGCGGTTCTTCGTGGTCTGGTGTTCTTTCTGGTGGTCCTTCAGGGCTGGGCCCGCTAGGTCCTGCAGATTCTGTGGCAGTCGTAGGGGAGATGTCCAGCCCGGAGCGCTGGGTGCAATGCCGTCCAGGTTGGGCAATCTGCGTAGCGAATTCTGGGGCGGAGGACGAGGAGTCGAGTATTTTGGCAGCAAGTTTGCATGTGAAAGCTTCCTCATACCGGCGACAAGCGGAGTTCAGAGTACGAGTGTCTTCGGTTGAAGGCCGACGGAACAGTGAAAGATGTGAAAGATGTGAGGCATGATCTACGAGCCCTACCCCCGTTTGTCCCTGGAATGCTGGCAGCCCAAGGCACCTCGTGCGCCGTGTGCTGCGTGCAGGCGGCTCCCTGGAGGGAGCTCAGCTTTCGTGGGCTCGTGGGCTTCAATGCGAGGGGCCGAAACCCAAAGATGTGAACTCCCCGGAAAAGCCCTAAAGTCACTAGTCTTTAAATTTGGAGCGAAGGGGTTGATGTGCTCACAGCCTGCAGCCTGCTCACAGCTGGCTTCAAGCTGTAGACAAAAGGGGCAGGACGTTGCGACTCCGGACTGGTAGCAGGATGCAGGTGTCGCAGCCTTTTGCCCCCTCTTAGCCCGACTTAGTCCCCATTCATTCCCATTCCCCACCTCAAAGAGAAGACAGAAACGACCTCCTCGAGAAGGCCGCTGCCAGAATCCAAGCGAGCTACGCGTCGCAGCCTCGACACATCTCGACATGCCTCGTTTTTGCAGTGTTACAAACACCATCAATTCTCATGTGACCTCAGTGTTGTCCCGGGTAGGTTTAGCTTTGCGAGATGCCAGAAATGTCGGTGGACGTCTATAGGGCAAAGTCCGCCGGCGAGTTGTTGCCATGCTTGGAGAAGGGCTGCCGGAGGTACATGGGATGGCAGCGACTTCAGTGTTACACGTTGAGGGCGCGTAGGGAGCTCTGCAACAGCTGGAAAGTTGCTGTTGGCGGAGGCAACGAGCTTCCATAGCCTTCTTAGCAATTCTGCCAGTCCCCCGCCTTAATCCTTGCAGAAAAATGGTTCCTTCATCTTCGCGTGCAATCACGTGTCGGTTTCTCCACGTCGATCTCAGGTCTTTGTGGATGTCGGGGCTTTGTGACTGCGCCTCAGACTTGGCTCGGTGGGATGCGCAAGAGCCGAGTCGGCAAAGATCCGACACCTCCCCTAGAAACATTCTCCCCTGGAGCTCTCCGACTCAGCGGTGCATGCTTCAAAGTCTCAAATCCTGAATCCTGCATCCTGCAATCAACCCAGGGAGGATTTTGAAAGGCTGGGCTTGGAAACGTGATCTCTGGCAACAGGCCTGTAAACCACCGTGAAGCCTCAAGATAGCAATACATCTGCTCGCCAAAATCTGACGAATCAGGTCGTGGAGTCAGGATAGCATGGGGCGGGCGGAGCGACTTGCAAACTCAGGCCATGAGCACGAGTGTCTCAGCAAGATTCTTCTTGCAGAAGCTGCGAAGAAGTGCAGAGGCACATTCCTTAAAGAGCTCGCTGGCCAGGGCTTGAGGCACAAAATGGTTCCTTGGATTCGAAGGTTGCCAAGTTTCCCTGGCATCAGGTCGCCCCAGAGCCTAGGCCCTAAATCCCTCAACCAGGGGGCTCCTGCCTCCCTCACCATCCAAGACTTCTAGACACTCAGCGTGGAGCAAAAATGGAGTGAGAATCAGATGTGAAGTAACATATATATATATATACATTATACATATATATATATATATGTATGTATGTATATATATATATATATATGATTTCAGTGACATGGCCATGAATCACAACTGCTTCAACCCCAAGTCCCAAGGAGGCCGCACCGGGCGCATCCTCGTTGATGCACTGGAGCCAAATGCCAGGAACTTTCGGTCCACGCAGGTGACGGCTTCTGGTCGAAGGTTTGTTGGGGAGGTCCTTGGCGGGGCTTCATGGGTCTTCACAGAATGGACAGGATTCCAAGGCTTCTTCTTTAAACCTAGGAAACAGAATCCCAACAGACTTTGCAGCAGGGGCACCCCTTGTTCATTTTGTTTCTTCCAGGTCTAGAGGTTTTGTGCCCCGCATCATAAGTAGCGGCTGGCCACCTTCGAGACCAGTTCGTGGATCAATGTCCTCGAACTGAAACGCCTTGGTCCAATCATTTCAATGCAAAGCAAGCCCTGAAGCCGTTTGCACACACCGGCAAACCCTAACTAAAGCCCTAAGGCCCCAAACCCGAAAAAGTTGTGAAAGCACATGCAACATCTTTGAAACATACATTTGGCGACATGCTTCAACGTTCTTTCGACATGCGCCAGACGCCCTCATCTCCACACGCCCCCCCCCCCCCTTCTGCTCTCCTTTGTTGAATAAGCGGCGGATAGATAGATAGATACATAATATATATATATATACACATATTATATATACATACACACATGTAAAAGAATTTGAGTATGTGTATATAAACCTATATAGTCCCATAGAAACTCTGGCCAGGCCCAGTTGCTTGGGCTTCCCCGGCGCTGGCGCCGGCGGCTGCGCTTTCGGAGGGCCGCTGCCGGCAACACCACGCTGCAGGCGATGGAAAGGGGAGCGCATGCGGGGGAGCTTTGTTGGGCACCGGGGGGGGGGCCTTTTTGTTGGGGGCCCTCGTTCTGTTGTCTGTTGTAGCTCTTGGGACCCGCCGCCCTTGAAAATGCACGTTTTTCTTTTGGAAGCTCGAGCTTCGTCTAGGTAAAACGCTCGTTGCACTGTGTGGGGTTGCTGGCATTGTTTCTTGGCTTTTGGGTTTTAAGGGTGCACGATGTTGGGGCTTGCACCTTGTCGGGTTTGGGTTTTTCAGGGCACAAAATTTTCGGCATGCAATTCTGTTTTGGCTTGCATTGTGACGAGTGGGTGTTTTGGTTATCTGCGAAGATGGCAGACCCTTGCACGGTGTGGGTTGGGGTTGAGGTGTTTTGGCTTGCACGGCGTGGGTTGGGGTTGAGGTTTGTGGGCTTGCACGGTGTGGGTTGGGGTTGAGGTTTGTGGGCTTGCGCGGTGTTGAGGTTTTTGTGCTTGCACGGTGTGGGTTGGTGTTTGAGGTGTAGGGTTCAGGTCTTGGCGGTGAAGAATGGAACAGAATGAACCTCCCCTCTCAACCCCCCCACAGACCCAGAACACCGAAGAAGAGCCAGAAACAACATTGAAAAAAATTGTATGTTTATGGGTCGCAGCTTATAGCAGAACAGGCTCCCAGAATTCCGCAACTTGTTCTTCAAGCAGTGTGTGCTTCTGTGTATGGAGCAGGCCACCCTGTATGGAGCAGGGGCGAAGGCCTCGCTCAAGGCTGGCTGCATGGCTTGGCAATTCGGCTCGGTCCGGCTAGGTGTAGAAACACCATGTACAGAGTTTCAACAGGGCGGCGCACTGAAAGTCCGGGTGTTAACCCGAAGTTTTTTGAATTGTCATCTGTGCAGACAGGAGTGGCTGATGTCAGTTGATGGGCTGTTCATCTGTCGAAAGAAACAGATTCCAGTGCTGTGCAGGCTGCAGCTTATGGCCGGGAGCCTGGGGTTTTCATTCCTGGTGTCCTTTGCACGTTTTGGCATGCAGGGCCCCTAAACCCCATATCCTATAAACCCTTAACCCTAAACCGCCTAAACCCCTGATGTTGGTTAGCCAAGGCGGGCTGTCCTGGTCCTGGAAGCGGGACAGGGTGATGTCCTCGGCGGACACGCACGAGGAGCAGGCGGGAACTTGAAAGCAACCCCACCTTGGGCTGCTTGGGCCAACTTGTTGCCGCCCCTGTGTGTGCGTGTATGTATTCATGTGCGCGAATGCGCGTGCTAGGCGGGGGGGGCTGTACAAGGCGGTAAGTGCGAAATATAGAGCCCTGGTGAAGGAGTTTGTGGATGAGGCACCATCACAAAACGCGAATTGACAGCTGCAGAACGCGCGCGATCCGAGCGGCCGCATGAGCATGCAGGACGCTGTGGATCTCCTGCCAGACGCCACTCGTAGCAGGGGCTTGCGTAATCCAGCCGAAAGACGTCGACTCGTTGGACATGTGCTTATGCAGGTTTTTCTTTCCATCGAAGAGCATGGGCAAGTTGTCTTATCGATCAAGCGGCGAGACCACTCGATTCGTCCTTAAGAATATTGCTTCTCAGAGTGGCCGGCGAAAGCAAGATAGCCAGCCAAGACCGGGGAGGACATGATCGTATTCTTCGGCACGCCTAGCTCCAACAAGCGCGTGCGAACGGCTGCGCTGATAATATCTGATAATGCTGTGACTCTTCCTAGTTCTCGGCTGCCAAAGATCACCAGCTTGACATGCTGAAGAAAGTCAACTCCATTGGCATGTTTTGCGGGGATGCCGCTGACGTGGTAAAGGGGCTCAAAGGGGCCTACCTTAAAAAGAGGCATTTTGTGTGGGTATGCTTTTGCTTTCTGGGTTCCTGTGCCTCCGCTTCTATCTTGTCTTGCCGTTCTCATGTTTTCTATGTTATTCTTGCTTGTTTCCAGCTGCCTTTCAGTTCCTTTGGCTTCTTGCTTTTCTCTTCTTTGTTTTTCCTTGCTTTACTCGTTGCCTTTCCTTTTGATTTGCCTGTGTCTGCTTGTGTTTCATCGCCTTTGGCTTCTTGCTTTTTCGCTTATTTATGTTTTTGCCTTTCTGCTTATTGGTTGTTGCCTGTCTCTTGATGCCTTTCATTGTCACTGGCTTCTTGCTCTCTGCGTTTTTCTTTCCTTTTGCTTCTTGCTTTTCTCGTATCGTCTCTTGTTGCCTTCGGCTTCTTGCTTGTTGCTTTTTGCTTTTCATTGTTGTTGCTTGAACTTTTTGCACCATTTCCCCTCATTCTTGCCCCACATTTCTTTTGTACCCATGGTTGCTCTGTATTTTCGGTATTTGCTGGAGGTGGTTTACCAAAGCTGGAAAGCAGGAAAGAAAGCAAGAAGTGAAGGACAGAAACAAGAGAATGAATGGAACAAATGCAAAAAGACATGAATGAAGACAGAAAGAACAAGCTCAAAAAGAAGGAATGACACAACGACAGAAATAAATCAAGAAGGCAACAACAAAGACCGCCCTTCCCCCTCTCTCCTTCACTCCCTTTCCCCCCCTCGCCCTCCCCACCCCCGCCCCAAAATTTCAACCGCAAAACCTTTGTTTCCTGTATACATTGGTTGAACCACGTTTATATATACATACATATATATATATACATATAGCATTTCATAGCACACATTATACATTTCATATGTTGGATTGTTTATTATTAACTTTACCTTACACATTCTACATTATTGGCGTATCTTGTAGTACTTTGTGAAATTCTTTTCTATTCTAGTCTGTTCCATGCTATTTTTTGCATGGAGAGGTGCCCGTGATCCGCCTCGACTCCTGGGCTGGAGCCTCTGCAGTTGAGAGGGTCCTATCGGCATTCTCGACCCACCGGAGTCTTTCGGTTTTGGCAGCTGTGTCATATCCTGGTAAGGAGCCACGCAAGCCTTTCCACAGATGTACGACGATGCGTGATGTGTGAGAATGCACCTTCTCCAAGGTGGGAGCGCGCTTGGGCGAGGGGCGCATCGAGGTCAGGTCCTGCGCATGTCCCGTCTGGAGTGCGGATGGTTTGGCAAGTATGGTGTGGTCATGTACTAATGTACCCTTGTGTGAGGTTTTGAAGATCGACGTCGAGGGCAGTGAGTGGGAGGTGCTGCAGGGAGCAGGGGCCCTCCTCGCTGGGGGTCACGTCCTCTGCGTGGTCTTGGAGTACTCCCACTTCTGGTCTCAGATGACGTTGAAGGGCCTGGCCCGGTGGATGCTGGAGAAGGGTTACGACGGATACCTTGTGGGCAGCCCACACTTGGTCCCTGTCAGTGGTGCTGGGCTGGAGTGGTGGCATGACCTCTACGAGGTGTGTGCCCGGCCTGACTCCCGTATCTACCGCGGCCTTGCAGGCTGGTGCTGGCTGAATGTGGCCTTCGTCCTGCGAGGCTCCTGGTTGGGAACGCTGGCAGCCCAGTGGCTCCCGCAGGTGCAGGCGAAACAAGCGCTTCAGGGTTTCAGCAGTGGACCTTTTCTTTTTTTGCCATGTCCTCACGGTCGTTTTCACATGTTATGTCACGGCACAAGCATTGCACCTGTCAGCTTGAACCCCTCGCAGACGTAGCTCAAGCGCTGTCATGAGGCTTGGCCAGAGACGCCCTATCCGCCCAATTCGCAGAACCAGGAATCATCAGGAATCATCAGGAATCAGCAAGCAGATTCGCAGAGCGGAGGCTTTTCGAGGCATGTCGAGGCCTGCCGGATAGCAAGGCCAGTCGCGCATCGGCGGATCTATTGAAATAACCTTCGCAATCTCACTCAGTTTGCTCCCAAGCTTGAAAAAACACGCAGAAGATGACTCAGTGATAGCGATGAGAAGATGAAAATGAAGCACACAGGATGCCTACTACATCTACTACAGTAGGCTCTCCATCAGAGGGTTGTTCAACTGAGAACTCTGGGGTGGCCATGGCGTGCAGCCCGTGCAGCCCGCGAGTCTCCTTGTTCCAGGCTCATGTGGGAGGTACTCGTACTATTAATATTATGAATAATACAAATATTGTGAATATTAAACGCAAAATTAAAGTAGTAATATGAATAATATTGCTATTAAAAATATGAATAATATTCATAGTATTAATATTTCTAGTATGCTGAAGGGCTTAGGCACCACCTCACTGTTGGAAGTTGGGACAATGCACTGAAGCAAGTGGGTTCCTTGTTCCTCGCAAACCTGGTCGCGCTTATGCTCAGGAGTTGGAGATTTCATCAGGTTTTCCATCAGTGCAATGATGCAGTGTATGACTCTTGACGGTTATGTTCGCTCACTGCTCGGCTGAAAAGTGCAGTGGACAAGCTTGACCGCCAAAACCAGCATGCCGTGACTCCTCAGGAGTCCAGATTTCCAGTAGTCCAAGCCTGTGGCTGGACTGCCTGACTATGCCTGACACATCCTGACGCAGGATCGAGAGGATTCCTGCAGCGACACCGAGGAGAGTTGGGCTGTCTGCAGCCATGCTGCGAATGCTTAATCTGCATTGCGCTGCCCCGAATCAGACTGCCACAGTCGTTAGCAAAGGTGTCAATCCAGTCATTGCGCCAAGAATTCTGATTCCGACCCAAGTTTGCTTTTGCTGCGCACCTTGAGGATGCCGTTCAAGTTCACTTCGAAAACCCCAAGACATCGATCCTCCGCTTCAGGACGAGATCAGCCCATGGAGCCTCTGGTGTGAAGAAGCGGAGCAGGTCACCCTGTGCATTTTGTGCATTTTGGAGTTCGGGGTGGCCGTCTGCCGTGTTCGATGATTTCAAGACGATTCGAGTCAGAGATGGCACGTAGAGGGGCATCTTGGGCTTCAGTTCAGAAAACATGAAAGTTGCAGTTTAAGACGGTGTTGTTAAGGAGCCGTGGACTTTGGATCTCGAGCATCAGGGCACCACCAGCGCCACATCCCAGACACTATCGAGCATAAGCTCGCAGCGCGAATCCAGCCGGAAGCCTGAGCCAAAGCATCTAAACAAGTATGTGGAGATGGGTTTAATTTATGACTTGCGAATACTTCCCAAGTGCGTAGATATCTTTATCTATATCTAGACCTTTCCCTCATTGTCTGTCCTCGCTCTCGCGCTGTATGTATATATATATATATATGTATATATATATATCTATGTATATGTATATGTATATGTATATGTATATGTATATGTATATGTATATGTACATGTACATGTACATGTATATGTATATGTATATGTATACGTATATGTATATGTATATGTATATGTACATGTATATGTATATGTATATGTACATGTACATGTACATGTATATGTATATGTATATGCATACGTATATGTATATGTATATGCATACGTATATGTATATGTATATGTTCAATAAAAGTGTATCTGCGCGTATCGACGTATGTATCTACGCGTATATCAGCACAGCTTAATCTGCGCGACTAGCTCTAGACAAGATAAATCTCAGGGAGCCTGGCCCCGCGACTTCGGCTTCCTCCTGCGCGGCCGGAGCCGCAGCCCCCGGCGCAACCCAGGGAGCCCCAAGCGCAGCGAGGCAAAATGGGGTGGGGGTGATGTGGGGTTGATGTGGCGGGGGAGCTTAGGGTTTAGGGTGGCCATCTCAATCTCCGGACCCCTGTACACAGCTGGCACAGCTTCAAGAAATGAAAAGTTACCGCAGAGGGACAGGGACCCACAGTCAGTCATCCCAGGGTTTCGAGCAGCCCTTGCCTTGGAAAGAAGTGTTGTTCCAGGAGGCGCTGTCAGAGTCGCCACCGCGGCCGCAAGCCACCAGGGAGCCGGAGAGGCCCAGGGTTTTCGGGATTTGCTTTTCAGCACCTGGACGAACCTCCACGAACGTGTAGACTTTGGGGGGGGGGGGGGGGGGTTTGGGGGTCGGGCATGTTGGTCACTGTTGGTCGCTCTTGGTGCTTGGGATGCTGTTGATCATCAGAGGATCTGAGCGTCTGCACTACCCCGACTCAAGAGCTTGGATGGCCTCAAATCGCAGGCATGCCCCCTTGTTGGCTACTGCTCTGCCCGCACGGGACTCAGGACTCAGTCAGCTTCTGTCTCTGCACATCTGGCCTGAGTATGCTTCAACATGCCTCCACATGCCTCAACATGTGCATGTCCTCTCTGATGCTTCTCAATATACTTCAATGGCTCGCACAGCCTGGCAGGGAGCAGCGCCCAGACAAGAGGGCAGCACAGGGCATCGCAGGTGTGGCAACGAGTTGCCATGGCTGCGGTGGCTCCAGCCTTGTCATCTTTCCAGGGTTTCCCTGCTCTCAGCCGAATGCCAGAGCCCAAGAAGCCCCCCGAAGTCGCGAGTGACCTGGACGTGGCGCCTCTTCCGCCGCTTGAACTTCTGACTACCCGGCTCTGGAGTGATGGAGTCGACGCGGAAGTGTCTCGGCGAGTTTGCGTGGATTCCCCGGGCATGGCGGTCGGGTCGCTGGAGTCGTGGCGGTCCTACTTTTCGGAGAGCTTTCCGGACATAGCGACGGCCCCTCCAAATCGAATCCTGCACAATCTTCACACCGCATGCATGGACAAGTTGGCGGAGGAAGCGCCGCAACGGCAAAGCCCTAGGTTAAGAGATAGTGCTCACGTGCGCATCTTAGACTCACCCGCTCGGCTTGGCAAGTTTCCGGAAGTCCCATGTCAGGAGATGTCGACGGGTCCGGGGAGGCTGAAGCTGAAGAATGAGGTTGCTGTGCGCAGGCACCAGGTCAGCCCAGACAACCCAAAGAGCCTGGGTTGCTATTTGGGAAAGCTTTGATGTGACTTTAGAGCTGTGTAGTCAAAGCCAAAAGAACCGCTACACGGGCACCAAGAACAGTCTAGGAGACTTCCGTGGAAGCTTTGGTAGACCGGGCCCAGAGCAGGACAAGTTTGGTAGTGTTTAGTTGAGTTCGTGCACTCCGGCCCATGACCTGAGTGCGCCACGCAGCCACTTGGGTTGGTTGCCAGGTTAAAACATGACTGTCAAGGCATCCTAAAGATCGCCCCAGAAATGCCCTGAGATTGTTGAACTGGTGCTGCCAATCCGAACGTGCGCTCGTTGCTCTAATTACTGGTATCTATTTCCTGTCGAGTCATGTGCATTAGCACGGTGTCACCTGGCGTAGGATTCTTTAATTCTTGAAGGCGTACATTAATCTCAGATTGTCTTCACGCCACAGCGCCATGGTGCGCCCACTTCCAGTTGGGATGCGCATCAAATGGCGCCATCAGAAGCCAAGACACCCTCTCCCCTCCTGTTGGAAGTTGCTAGCTGTCTAGAGTTCGGCATCAAGATAGGGATATGTAGGAATACTGTACGGTGAGGGATCAGCCATGAATCATTCTTCTCTCGGCTTGCGCTCTGCCCCTTTGTAGGCAGGCATCCGCACAGCGGCCTGTAGCTTGCAGAAGCTCGTTTTTCTTGCTGCAATCGCAGCACTGTGGCCAATTGCTGCATCAGTGTCACCCTTGCTGGTGTACTTTTTTTCCAAGTGGCTCTCTGCATGTAAAAACTACATGTCCAAGCTAGTGCGGAGCGGCGAATCGCAAGCGGCGAGAAGGGAAAATACAGACGGAAGACACCTGAAGAGACCTCCCATCGCTGCCAGGGACATCCTCCCCGCAGGTCCCTCTCTGGGGCTCTGAAGATCCCCGCAGATCCCCGACCGAAGATCCCCGAGCATCCCGAATATTCCCGAAGATCCCCGAAGATCCCAAAACTATCTAAGCCTCACGAAAGGCCTGCCTCTGCCTATCTCGTCCCAGGCGAACCGGCGTGAGGTGCAACAGGAGGGGCTTGGGATGCTGCGCGCTGAAGGGCTCCATAACTGTTCCATACATCTCATGGTGGGAAGGGAATGTTCGCAGCACCTCGGAGCGGGAGTCCGATGCAGCACCGAGCTACAGTTGGTCCGCGAAGACCAGGAGATACCAGGAGACGTGTCACTGAACTCCACTCATGGACTCTTCGTAAGGTGCGCTGAGTAGGCCTCCCCATAAGACCCCCCTACCCCGCGCGGGGCTCTTTCCGTAAGGGGCCTTTGCTTAAGGGCCTCCTCGGAAATTTCAGCCAATGGAAGCCTTTCAGCGGCTCCCTGCCTCTTTGGATTTCCTTGCATGATGGGAAAGTGAGGGATCCCTCGGATCCTTTCCTTTTGCTGTGGGGGAGAGCTTCTTGTCAGTGCTGTGGCTGCGAGGATCAAGTCCAGCCCATCTCCTCGGTGCAGCACATGACTTTGGACAAGTTGGACAAGTCGTGCGCCTTGGATGCACTTCTCAGACTGCACGAGCAGAGCTTCCAGCTTCCCTGAACTCCAAACATTTCTGCAAGCCCAACACGCGTGTCAGACTCTTGTTGTAGATTGCAGCCAGCACTTGCGAGGGCGCGATGAGAGCACGCCGCCTGCTACAGCCCCAGCATATGTGTGTGTGTGTGTGTGTGTGTGTTTTTGTTTTAGTTTCTGCTTGTTTCTTTTCAATTTCTGACTCAGGGAGTGAAGGGGAGCGGATCGAAGCGGACCCAAGCTCCACAGGTCTGAGTAAATGTGATGCTGTGTGCACGGCCAGGTCTGGGGCGAAGGCCATGAACAGAAGAGCTTCCGCGAAGTTTTGAGTGCCAGCCCGCGGCTATGCATGGCGTAGTTCCCAATATCAGCCAAAAGTAAGAGGGATACATACTTTTCCCGAAGCGTCAGCATCAGCGGGATCCTCAGCGGCACGGTCCATGAATGTGGGCAGCCCTTCGTACTGAGATGAGCTGTTGCTGCAGATGTAAGCGCTCAGTTCAGGTCAGCTGCTTGCGACCAGCTTGTCCTTCATTGGTACTTAAGCTGCTGCGTCCTGTTAGACTCTGTTAGACACTTATGGGACAGCTCATCAATCACAAGGGGTGCCGCGCGCAATTTCCTGCTTAAACTTGTGTATCTTTGTACTTGTGTCCTGTGCGTGGACGTGATCCCAGCCATGGAAGAGTCATGCAAGAGGCACGTCAGCTCGGCACCGGGCCTCCGCTACCGGGGGGGGGGCGGGAAGACTGTTAGACTGCTATGGATCTTGTTTGGTTCCAACAGTTGAAGTTGTTTTGCAGTGATTCTTCGGCTTCCTCCATCCCGATTGGTCATTCGGGGTGCAATCCTGTTTCTGGGTTGTCAAAGGCTGCAACCGAAGGCATGTCTTTCGCATGAGGTTCTGCAAGACGTGGCTTCCACAAGATTCGCTGCTTGCTGAAGTTAGCTGGGCCAAAATCATACCTTCCAAGACCCACCGCAAGCGATCTTGCTCCTGCAGAGCGAGTGGAGGGAAGCATCACAGCGCATGCCTTGTGCAAGACGCAGGCACAATTCTTTTAAACACCAGTGCCATTTTCCAAGATCCCTGAGCGACGATCTGCCACTACAAGGTTCGACATCATCCCGGCCCAAGAGCCAAGCCGGTTAAAATACCTTCCACTGGCTCAACGGGGCGTCTTAAGGCAGGTTCCGTTGCTTGGGTCTTCTGAACCCTCGGCTGATTCGCCCGTTTGATGGCAGATCCTGCCGGGCTGCTGTCAGCATGCTGCCACCCTGGTTACCACACTGTCCGAATTCTAAGAAGACACTTTCCTGGGCCCCGAGCGCAGCGGCCCGTAAACCCCAGTCGATCAGTGCATGCGGCGTTTGTCACTGCTTTTAACCCCAGGAAGCCTGCCGTGAGCAAAGAACTTCAAGTGATCACGGGGGGAGGATCCTCGGTGCTCCCCAGTAAGATTTCCTCCCCAAAATTGCCATCAGAGAGATCACCGGAAGAAGTGCAAATCAATCGTATCTCAAGGCCGACAGCTCCTGGGTCTCATTTTTTGACTGGGTTCCAGCATCAGATTGAAGCTTGACAGCTGGCCTGCTTCTGCTGTGACTGTCGAGTCACTTCAATCTGCAATCACTTCTTGCCGGGTTTGGAGCCCTTGGTGGGGAACCTGAGCTTTCCCGCAATGACTCGGTGCCGGTGTTCAGCACAGGTCAGGGGGGAGCTGAGCAGAGTAAACTGCCATTCTGCTGAAGCAGAGTGGAGTAGTACTGTTGAGTTCGTCTTAAAGATGTATGTAAGGTTGAAGATGCTAGGAAGTTACAATGAGCCACTTCAAGTCAAAGGTAGAGTATGATTCCTCGACTTCCACACCAGGTTCACCCGGCGAAATTCGCTGCACGCCATGCTGAGGCCGCGTGCCCCGGCACTGACTGGCACAGGGCTCCGCAGCCACTGCCGCAAAATTTTAGATGCCTTTGGGTTTGTTTCTTCGGCGGCTAGAACGATCCACTACTCCCACTACTGGGCAAATCATGATGCCTTCTGCTACGACTCCAAGAACATGGACGGCCAAGACTTGCTACGATGACAATATCTAATCTACAAGGACGGTAATCTGGTGTCATAAGTGTGGGCAGGAAGCACCAGAAACAGTCATGGCGATTTGGAGTGCGACGCCTTCACTCTTCGCCGTCCTCCTCCTCCTCCTCCAATATTTACTCCGGGCAGTGATTGGGCTTCGAGCTTCAGGTGGGTGACCTGTGTGCTGATTTATTCAGATCCCTTTCCTCGAGCATATGCTGAGAGTGCATGGCTCAAGCAAAACTGGCAGCAGCTCCTCATGTGAAGCATCAGCAGGCGAAGGCACCACAGAAAAGGCAGCACTACATAGACTTCTCTCCAGGGTGACCATTAGCTAGACACAAAAGCTACAAAAGCATGATAACAAGTGAGAATGCCCTGGACTCGACGTCTTGGAAGTCTTGGCTTGAGTAGAATTCTAGAAGAGACTTTGGCCTGGTCTCGTGCGCAAGAGCTCGGGATCGATGGAAGATCGGGAGAGATGTCACGAGAGATGTCGGGAAGCAGCTCCTTTGCCAAACCTGGAGTTCTTGGCAATGCTGGAGTTTCAGGAAAGCGGCTTGCAGTGACAGCTGTCGACCCACCCATGACTGAGACTAGTCCTTCCACAACCCTGCGCTAGGAGGCTCACGGTTAAGATTAGGGTTCGTGTCCATGGTGGGGAATCTTATGAATCCAAAGTGCGTCGGCCTCCTTGCCTTGCTTCCAGCAGCAAAGGCGATGTTGACTGGGCGAACATCTTACTCCAGGCGATTGAGACACGTGGGCGCAAACGGCCAGCAGGCCGGGCGTGCCAAGTTGGTCGCAAGCGATCGATGTTGGTTGTGTCGTGGCCGTGTGGGTGTCAGGATAGTGACAAGTTCCTACCCGAACCCTTCAGCAGAAAAGCCGCGCGGGAGGCTTGGAGCCCTTTGTCGGCCCCGTGGAAGTGCGACCGGCGCCTGGGAAGGCTGTTTGGGGTTGCACAGGTGAAGAACGTTTCATCTGCCTTGTAATGTACATCCTTGTGCTCCCACGCTGCTTTGCGCTTTGTGCTTTGCCCTTTGAGCCCCCGCCAAGCTTCCCAAATCTTGGAGCACGAGATACTCTGCAAGCCCAGAGAAGCAGGGCCGGGGCCTCTTCGCCACGCGGCCTGTTCCAAGCGGGACGCTGCTGCTCGTGGCAGGCGCTGTGGTTGCAGGCCATGCAGCGCTCTCGAGTCGAGTTGGGAGCCTAACTGACCCCAACCCCGCCTGGCATCGCCGGGCAACACCCGACCAGCATCATTCCAAGCCCAGCAAAGCAACGACACGTACACCCCACACGTACGCCATCGTACACCCAAATCATCTCCCAACAGGCCCAAAGACCTCTCTGCCTTCGGCCTTGCGCCGGCGGCTGGCCGGCTCCGCAGCCTTGTGCCAGGCGGTCTCGTCGCTTAGCCAAGGCCCGGTGTGAAGCCTTGCAGGAGAAGACGAAGCTACAATGTGAATGCTTGCAGGTTTTCAGGGCTCAGGCTGTTCAGGACTTAGGGTTGAGTCAGGGTTGAGTGCTTCAGGGTGTCATGGGTTCAAGGTTTGGAGTTCGAAGCCCCGCACGATGCGCAGGCACTGCGGACTCGGAGAAGTGGCGACCTGGCCTGCCCGTTTGGGCACCTAGCTCTGCCAGCAGTTCACAGCAGTTCACAGCAGCTCACAGCAGTTCACGGGGAACCCTGAACCCTGAAGCTAAGCGCCGTACAAGTATGGTCCAGGATGGATGGTGTGGATGAGAATCTTGAGAACTTTGGGTCCAAGTGCTACAACAGTTTTCCATGTCACGCTGGATGTGTATTAGCTAGAATCGCTCTGTTGTTGACCGAAGCTTAACGTGTGCTGAGAGTTAGAAGAATCCTCAATGCAATTTGAATGCACCAGTGCCAAGTAGCATGTTCGGTTTTCTGCTTTGAAGAATTCAGTCACAAATTCTCACATGCCAGATAGACCTGTTTGGGCAGAGGACCGCACCCTGAAGCCGAAAGCTTGAGCCTCCTTCCCAGCTCTATTGTGACACCTGCTCACCATGAGGTCACATCTTTGGCCGACCCAGATGCTCTGGCGCCGGGCGAGGTGGAGGCGGAGGCACGCGGCTGCAGAAGATGCCATTTCAGCTGTTCGATCGAAGCAGTTTCAGGAGCTTCCTGCACTCGACGACACCGCGGTGGCAAATGAGATGAGAAAGATGGGGTCTTAGGGATGCAGAGGCGCGATGCTGTTCAGGTCTGTGAAGGTGTTTACTTCGGCTTGTGGGCATGCTGTTCACGGGTGCACAGAGGTACAGGCCGCCCCGAAGTAGAGAAACACACGGGTTCGCTACGTCTAAAATGCGCATCTTGAGGTGGCATTCCAGGGAAGCATGATGCTCCGAAGCCCAGCCCACCCAACCCCACGCTGAACTTCTGTCTTCTCTGCCTGCTTTCTTAATGAGTCGGACTCAGGAAATTCTGGAAATCCTCAAGTTCAACCAGATGGCGCTGGCTGACATTGACAGCAGCGAAGCGCAGGTGAGAGATGGGATGCCTAAAAGCCCAGGGCCTCTGAACTAACCCAAGGGCGCAGGAGGAACCTCCAGGAAAGGCAGCCCCTTCTTGTTTGTAACTCGGCAAAGCCAATCAGATCCAATCAGGTGCGTGTGAACTCGGATCCTGAGCGCTCAGGTGGGACGGGCCATGCAGGGTGGGGTGGGGTGTTTGAAGCAAAGTTCGGAACAAGTCGCCACTATGGATTGTGACTGCGCTGACAGAGGGCCAAGATTGTTGTTGCTTCGCAGAGTGTGCCCACAGTATGCCATGTCTTCCAGAGCGGTAGCACCTCCGTGTTAGAGCGTCATGCTCTTCCCACAAAGTTTGGAGAGATCCCCTTTGCACCCCTTGGGGCCTCTGCTCGAGGCGATTCGCTTTGATGTCCTATCGCTTGGGTATCTGGAATCGACAGTTCCTTCCCTGCGCCTGCCCATCCCCATAGACCTGCTCACAGACCATTCGCCCCTCAGGGCTCTGGCTGCTGACGAGCTTCATCAACCACTCCTGCTGTCCCAATGTCCAGCGTGCAGCCAGCCATGATGGGGGCAGATGGGGTTCGGAGATGGTGTTCGGACTTGAATTTGGGCCTTAGAGCCTTAGAGCCCGCAGCCTGTTCCTGTCAGGTCGGGAAGTTACGGTTTTGATACAACAGTTAACTCAAAGCACGTCTTAGCTTGTATGCTCAGCCCAGGTGCTCCTGCACGACCGCATGGTGGTACGGGCCGCCCGGGATCTCCATGCGGGTGAGGAGACTCACGGTCCATGAAACAGATTGTCTTGAGGAGTCGGCTCGGGCAGTATAAAAAAAAGTGGCGTGTCGCCCGCCGGAGTTCAGCGTTTGCGGCATTGAGTCTGCCATGTCACCAAAGCGAGCTTACGAGAGTTGTCGTTTACAGCCTTTCTCTCCGTGTTCAGGTGGGTCAACAAGCGACTTAACTGGTACGAAAATCAAAAAGTTAATGGGCTGCGGGGTGGGGGCCCTCCCCCTCCCCCCCCTTTAAAGATTGATTCCACCAATCTTTTGGCCCCCCCCCCCCCCAGATTTGCTCCTCCCCCCCTCCACCTCCCCTCCCTTCAAGCCGCCCCCCCCTCCTTGCAGGCTCCCTGTTCGATCTGTCAAGAATTCGAACGAGGATTCAACCGCAATGCTCCGGAAAGTTTTTTTCTGCTACCCTTGGGCTTGCCATGATCCCAGAGTACTCTTGCTTGTGATCGGACGGGATCGTTCAAATCGGAAAACACACGCTTCCCTCCCGCCATGTAGCTGACCATATAGCAGACCATGTGTGCCATCTTCGGTTTTGGGGAGTGGCCATCATTGCTCCCTCGAGAATGCATTGCTTGCGCTGTCCGGCGTTTGTCTAGCTTTCGAAGCCCAGATCTCAAGTGCCAGTTGCCGCCCTCATGCCATGTCATGCTCAGGAGCTTGTCGACAGCTATGTGCAGGCATGGCCCTTCTTGGGGAGCTCCTGTTCTGTTCGTAACAAGGTTATCTTGGCCTTTCTCAAGCTCCTTTCTTTTCGCTCGCACTCTCTATCAAGTCCGGCCATCGATACCTGTGTATCCTAGTCCTACCCGTAGTATCTGTGCGGGCAGGGTACCTTGCACCCGAAGGCCTGACGAAGGGCTCTTGACGTTCTTGCCTCCGGCTTGCCATACGACAGGTCCTCCAGCCCCTGCGGCGTCGCCGCACAGAGCTAGAGCGCTCATACCGCTCCCCGGCAGGATCATGATTCCGCCTGGTTCGGGGTGTGCGGGTAGGTGGCCGACACGTCTGGGACAGGTTTCTGTTGCAACTGCCATCGCTGCGTCCTGGAGTTGGAGGTCCTGGATGGCCAGCAGGTCTCCTGTGAGCATTTGGGCCTGGGTGGAAGCTTGTTGCTTGTTGTGGTCAGCTTGATTGATGTGAGTCATTTGGCACGTGCATGGTCACCTGTGGTGGAACGGGAGATCGAGTTGTGCAACGGAAAGGTTTGCTGAGTTTGCTGGCCCGGAAAGGTCTCACAGATTTCTGCTTCATGTCTGAACTGCATTCGGGCTTGTTTTTTCAGATCTTTAACCTGGAGCTGTTTTTTTTTTGCGGAGGCGTATCTTGCATGGTTGCGTTGCTTCTTTCGTAGCGCTGGCTTGCCAGGACAGCTGCAGATTCTACCTAACCAGAGTCTTCTTCTGCTTCGCGTGTCTTACGTCTTACGTCTTCCGTCACGTCCTGAGCTCTTCCGTCCTGGGCTTTTCAGGTGCAGGGGCTTCTCGACCGCTCTGCCGCGGCGGCTGCGAGGCGAGGGGTTTCCAAGTGTAGGACACGAGCCCCGGGGGATCCCAAGGCTCCTGTCGTGTTTGATGGCCGGGTATGTTTGGCCTTGAATCAGCTGGTGTTCAACTCCAGACTTCCTTGCTGCAAGCCTTTCTGGACGCCATGCGAAGCCCTCACCGAGCAAGTAGGAGCCTGTGAGCTTCGACCTGCCAGCACATGAGTGCTGGACAACGGTGACCCCACAAACGGGAACCCTGAACACTGCCACACTTCCTGCGAAACCCCATTTCTGGCAACGAGGCCCTCCTCCAATGGCGAGCCTGCTACTGGTCTCAACTGCGATGCAGGAAAGGATCCAGGGCGTAGGCTTCGAGTTTCCGGGTCCGCGACCTCGTGGCCCTGTTGTTAAAAGGTTTGCGCAGAGGCGGAGAGTTCAGGGCGGACGCTACGCTTTTCTTTTTGAGACAGTAGCAGTAATTGGAAGAGCCGCATGAATAGCAAGAAGAGGAGGAAGAGCAAGAGTAGAGTAGTGAGTCCTCTGCGGCGGGCGTCGAAGGAATGGCGCCTCATTGAGGCGGCCGAGGCGCAGGTGGCAGCCGCGTTGGCAGGTGCCGTTCGCAGTCTGCTTTACACTTCTTGGGTTCGGGGTTTTGGTTGAAGGTTCATGGTTCATTGCAGCTGGTTCATAACCTGCTTAATTCGGCCCTGCTGCCAACAAGATGCTCCAGTGGTCCAGATTCGACAGAACACCAGAAGATGTCCAGTGGGCCTGTCATTTTTTAAAATTTTGGGCTTCGGGCAAAGCTTTCGAGGTGGAGACTACACGTGGGCTGGCACCAAAGGCGGCATGCAGGACGGGGTTTTCGCGTGGGACTTGCAAGACCACGCCCATCATGCCAACTAGCCCCCCCACCCGTCGTCATTTATTGGCAGCCGGTGAACGACGCCCATGAACATCTACGGGAAATAGAGGAGTTAAAAATAGAAAAGGAACAGATGAGAGGGTCGAGATGAACTTGTGAAAGCCAAGAGGTCCTGCCTTGCAGGTATGAAGAAGAACGGACCAAGCTAAGCTGTCTTATCTTCAGTTTCAGTTCCAACATTTTCGATGAGAGCACTGGTTCTATAGGTGGTGCAGGCCCAGCCAAAAGGAAGACTTGGTCACAAGCCGACGCTGCCCCACTTTCGTGACATTTGTGGAAGTCCCCTTGCTATGCAGGAGCTTCTCCTTGCCAGCTTTGCGCCGGCTATGCGCTCTTTGGCCCTTGCTCTGCCGCCCGGCCCGCACTCGGGGGATTGCGAGAGTATCTCAGGGGCATTGCGCCTTTCGTCCGACTCTGAGTCGGCAGGTTCAGTTTAGGTGAGGAGATGAGGTTTTTGAGGGGCCATGAGTGGTTGAAGCCGAGGATGTTCTGTGAGTTTGGTGGGTTTGCCGATCACGGGCTTGCGAAGTGTTCAAGGGATTCACGGCACAATTTGAGCGGGGGTCCGTCAGAGCAGCGGCGCATCGGGTTTCTGGAGTCATGAGAGCTTGATGTGGGTTCTTGAGTCTGACCCTCATCAGCAGCAGACCCTCAGCTGCGAACTTATCCCTGCGACATCCCGCGACTCCAATGCAAATCCCAAGCCGGAACCTCGAATGATCTGCAAAGTCCTGCACGTTTGCTACCCCCAAGACAAGGCAAAATGGATTCGCAGCCCAATCAGCCAGGCTGGTGACCATCAGTCTCAGTCCATCAGCCAAACCGACTGTATGCTCTCATGTTCGGAGTTCAGAGCTCGTAGACTTCTCGTCTGAATTCGCACGTCCTTTGAACGATCGAAACCTGACCGCTTGCTAAACAACCTGAGGCACAACAGCTCGCATCAGGCCATGAATAGCAACAAGCACAGCTGCAGCCTGTAGCAACAAGTGGCAGTGGGTGACTTCCGCACATGCAGACATGCATGAACATCTACTGGCGAACGACTCGCATTGAACAGATGCCGGCGAACGTTTATGCATATTTTTTGGAGGTCACACGTGGCACTGCGTGTTTGGCAGCGCTTCCGCGATGTTGTGGCGGCAGTGCTACCAGGCCAGTTTTTGCTTCAGAGGGTTGGCTATGAATCTGAAGGCCAGTGCCGCACACTGTGTGTGCAAAATTCCTGCTCCTTTTGCTCCAGCGAATTGCCGACATTCAGGTTCCGAGGTCCTCTGTGCCGTGAGCAGCTCCTTGCTCTGCCGCTTGGACCCAGTCTTGCAGTGGGGCCTGGCTCGGTCCGCCCGACTAAAGTCTCCAATGTATATTCACCTCGAAGTTGCATCCTGGGGGCCAGGGAGTCTATGAATTCTTGGGTTTGACGCTCCACATGTGCCATTCACGTGCTCGCCTAGGTCCCGCGCGCGTTCTGTGGTCCGAATCGCGCACCTGCTGCAGTCCCGTGCACGTTTTGTTGCTTTAATTGCTGGATGGCCGCGACGCGCTTTCCTGCCGGATGTAGCCGAGCCAACCCCAACCAAGGCCAAAACGACAAAAACGACCACCTCCATCTGGACAAAGATCAACACTCGGTCTAGGGTGCCTGAAGGCAGACAGATCAGTGGTCAACGTTCGAGCCAGCAAGGCTCATCCCATGTTTTCCATGCGGACCGCAAGGCTCCTTCCCGTGCGCCCCGTGCGTAGGCCCCCTCCACCCGTACCACACACGTTGACCCGGGCTCGGGCATCATCGGGGGGGCCAAGGCGCACAAATCTTCATAGTTCATATCGGCAGCGCGACACATGTGGTCAGTGACGGTCTGTTGTGATCAACCGCATGCTGATGTCGCGGTGCTTGAAATTGTGCCCGCCGCAGTCCCGTGCGCGTGCGCTCTTGGCGACATGGGTTTGGGCTTTGAGCTGCAGTGATCGAAATTTTACAGGCGTAAGGGTCTTGGAGCGAGGGCCCGGGGGAGGTTTCGGGGAAGTAATCCTCGCAGTGGATGGTGCCGCAGTCACAGCGGTAGTAGAAGATGCTCTTGCTGATCTTGCTGCGGCTCAGCCCATGCCGCGCGCGCTCTGGAGCCCACTGTGCTCCTAGCGCATCGGCTGTTGCTGATGAATAGATACTAGAAGCTAAGCGGCGGCTCTCCAGCAAAGCCTCACCAAGCTCCCAGGCATGGCTCTCCTCCTCCGGGGAAGCCCCAGCGCTTGCCGACATGAGCTGGCCCAGGCGCTCTGGGCCTGCCACCAGGCTCGGAGAAGTCGGAGAACCCATGCCGTCGAGTTCGAATTGTGGCGTAGAGATGAGCGCGGGAGCAACACCCCGCAGCAGGCCTATGGCGGCGGGATCAAGGTGTGGCAGGTCTGGCACAGGACAAGTGAGCAGACTCGTGCAGGGTTGAGGTTGATTCGGTATTGGGCCGTGGGCGAGGCAGCAAGAGCTGCTAGCAACAAGTGAGTATGTGGAACTTGCCAAATCTGCTCTCAGTAGCCTGTCCTGGTGTCGCCATGAAAGCATCACGCAAGCCCGGTCCAGCAGTCTCCTGTACAGGCGTATCCATATTTTGGAAGACTCGCGAGGGATGGCCGCTCCTTAAATCAACGCCACGGCCCTTCAACCTCAAAGCCTTAAAACGCCGCATCAAAGCCTTCTATCTGGTCCTCAAAGACGAGGAAGCTGTTCCCACCAGCCGCGTTGCGGGCAGCGGAGGCAGTGTGGCAGGAGGAAGTGTCCAGGCTGGGCTCTTCAAGGGTGTAGGGTTTAGGAAATTTAGGCCCTGTTTAGAATCTATACAGGGCCTAAATTTCCTGAACCCTACATATGGTTTAGGGCATTTGAGGGTTTAGGTGGGGTTCAGGGTTTGGAGGCTTTGGTGGCTTGGTTTCTTCCTTTGCTGCAGATATCTGGGGCGATCTCGCAGTTCTTTATATGCGCAGCCCTATTTTGTCACATGTCCCCGTCGTCGTAACCTCTATAACGGTTACCCTTAGGGCCCCAGTCCAGAACACCCCTCCAGGAATTTCACACAGTCGCGCTTATAGGGAGAGCGGGGGTAGTGAAGGTCGTACAGCAGGCCTGAAAATTTGAAGGGTTGAGTTCTAAACATCTAGCTCACAGTTCGAAGGTTCACGCTCAGATCTACGCAGAGCCGCTCAGCCGCACCATCGAATTTCTTCTCACGTCTCTTCACGTCCTGTGCAAAGCGGTGAGGAAGTGATCCCCCAGCTAAGAACAAAAGCGTGCTCTCCTGGACCACAGGTGTGGACACTGTGGACCTTGACACAATGGACTGAAGAGTGGCCACCCGCTCACGCCATCGTTTATGCTGCTGCCCTCAAAGCAAAAAACGAAGGGCGCCTGGAAGGGCGATTGAGCATTCAGCTCGCTCAAGCATGTTGCCAGCATGGATCTTGCCTGCCTTGGTGGCCAAGTGGTGGGGTTGTTCTAACTTTCCCAAAGTGGTACTCTGAGTTCAGGATCTCCCCTATGTGACTCTACAGACTTCCTCGCAGCCAAAGCAGCTAGAACTGTGCCCAGCCTGCCCTGCAACGCAGTGCCCTGGAAGCTTTCCCCAAGTCTTCGTTCTTTGGCTGCCCGTGCGTAGACTTGCAAGCCATGTTCGATTGCGCCGACCCCAAGGAGGTCTTTCGGGGTCCTCTTGTTGCATGCCAAGCTATTTTTCTGGAGAGTCTTTGTGGAGGAGTCTGCAGGGTAGGTGAAGCCCCCCTCAAAGGCGGTTTGTGAGCTAAGCTCTGGCTATGCCGTTGGTGGTGCTGCTGGAAGTGTTGCAGGGCGCCGGTGCAAGCAACGTTGGGTTCTGCAACATGGAGAATCCGAGGCTCGGCAACACATCCTATACCTTCCGATGCCTGGAGCACATCCCAAGAAGCTGCACCCAGTGACCCATCGCTTAACACACGGTTCCCGCGCCTTTTGCGCAGACGCGGTCCTAGAACCCTGGAATCCGCCCGTGCAGACTCCGTGCGCCCCCAAAGCGGCTGCGCCAGCGCCTGTCCAAACCTTCCGAGGCTGGGAGAATGTCTTTAGGCCGCTTTAAAGGTTTAGGGTTCTGTTGTGCTTAGGAAGGTACCGGGTTCCAGTATGGGAACGATCAGGTTATGATGGGCATCAAAGGCTGATAGGTGCCTTGGGGTGCAAAACACCACGACCAGTTGTTTTAGGCGATGTATTGTGCCTTTGGCCCGAAACCTTATCGTCATCCTTGAATAGACAGAATTTGGGCTTCGGGGGGGATTCGATATGTTTTCGGGGATGTTGGCGTTTTTCCATACATAGAATCTTGGAATCCATACATAGAATACTTGATGAACCCATACATAGAATATTCGAACCCATACATCGAATATTTGCTGGATCATGTTTAAGACAGCTTTGGCTTCAGGGTTCTAGGGCTTTCGTGTTTAGCTTGTGGGGCTATGTATGGTTTTGGTGAGAATCTTAAGGATGTCATAGCTTTTACTGCGCCCTCCCCCAAACAGAGCACCTCTAACTCCTGCAAGAACCATAGATAGAGTATAGTTGACCTCGACCCCTGGGGCACCGCCCGAAACTTTTGGCCAACATTCTATCTGTCGTTTTGAGGCGTTATTCTATCTATCGTTTTGGAAAGGGGGATTTGCTTCTTCTTCCCTAAACCCCCCAAACCCTAAATCGTTTCAGGTTCTGTGTTCCCCTGTTCCCCCCAGCCTTCTGGGACTCCTAGGGTTACCTGATGACTGCGGAAGTAAACTGCCCGCAGGACCCTGCTCCATCGTCGGAAGGCACGTCGGCTTGAGTTTGGAATTGGAGTGCCTAGGTTTTGTAATGAGGGATTCTTAGCATCCTGTCAGGCTTAGGAGTAGAGTGCCCTGTTTCACAGTTGAGAGAAGTGAGTGGCTTTTCTTGCGAGCGGAGCATGTCTGTGTAGGCTGTCGGCCAAATTGTGGCTCACCATGCAGCTACAGGTTGCACATCAAGTGAGGTACCGAAGCGCGTGTGGGTTACCTACGCTTTCCTACACTCCACGGGTCAAGGGCGCACGTCTTTTGAGTCCAGAGCTAGGGACCGGCACCGGGTGCCTGTTTGTGGGTAGAGACCACGTGCAAAGAAGACCAAGTGAACTTTGCATGCAAACGTATTGCGGGGGCTCCACAGGCAAGCGTGGCTGTTTGAGACTCTTAGACCGAAGGCGTTGTCGGATTAAGAGAGCTAACGCCCTCGAGCCCAGCTGGCAGGGCTGGATCTTCGGACCGGCGAGAAGATCACCTGGCACGGAAATTTGTAGTTTTTTCGTGGGTTCTGCTGCCTGTCGTTCTTCATCAGATCGGTTCGCGCACTGCAGCCAGGACTGCGCCAGAATGCGAAGCGCTGCCCGGCACGCGCCCAAGCTCCTGCAGTGCTATCCTAGGACTTGTGTTTACCAATCCGCATCCCCCAAGCACAGCAAAGTCCTCAAATAATTCGGACCCTCTCCTAGACGGTGGACGCATCCTTGACGGAACAGCAACACTTGCAGTCTTGCACCCTTCTGTAGTTGGAATGCGGTGCATATTTGGCTGCGCGAAATCTTGCATTTTCTCGTGCTGTCCTTTGGGACTTGCAACAGTTCCTCCACTTTCTCAAGCGCACGCTTTCGGACTTATACACTTGTGCTTTTTACTTCCTCTTTTCCCTACCCTTTGTGTTTGTTTCTGGAGGTTTTGCACATTCCGAAGCTTCATTGTAGGTTTCGGAAGGGTTTTTGCATTTTCTGGGGGAGAGAGGGGGAGGGGGAGGGGTTATAACGTTTCTGCCGTTTGTCCACCAGAAATGCAAGCCCAAAGCCTGAACACCGTTTCCCCACTCCCCTTACCCGAACCTCTTCACACACTGCAAGCCCCAAGACCTGAAAGCACTTTTCCTAAACCTCTACAGCAGTGCAAGCCCCAAAGCCCTGCCCCCCCTTAAAACCGAACCTTCCCCTAAACTGCCTCTAAACCCAGTAGCCTAGAGCCTATACCCTTCAGGCCAAAGCCCATGACCTCCTTTTTACAACCCAGGCCAAACCTCTAGCGTGAACAGCTCCCAAACAGCAGTGCAAAGCCCTAAAGTATCAAAAGCCTCAAGCCTTGAAACCTCCCAAGCATGTATCCTGAGAAAGAAGTCTCTGCGAGCCCAACAAAGCAGTGAAACCCCGAAAGCGCAATTCTGAAAAAGCCCCAAAGCATGTATTCTCAAAAAGAAGCGCCTGCAAGGCCCAAAACTACAGTGCAAGCCCAAAATCTCAAGCCTCAAAGCTCCTACAAAATTACTCCTAAAGCAAGTATTCTGGAAGCCCCGCAATCATGAATGAGCTTAAAACTCGTTTGGACCCACAATATGCAGCATAACACGCGGCCAAATGCGTGCCGCGTACCCTGTAGTTTCCATGTCCTTCATGTTCCCTTCAACTCGACTTGAAAGTGGTTCCTAGAACTCCTCGGTGCTGCAAGTGTACACGGTTTGGGTTCCTTTTGTTCCAGTACCGTTGCTCCTTCAGACGTTGCTCCTTCAGACTCCTGAGGTGCTGTGAAGACCGTGCCCGTGCCTCTCCGGCTTGCCGTTGATGTCTGTGGGATTCCGTAGGGGGAAGTTTGGGAACTGCCGGGATTGCCGTGCCAGAGCTTGGTCAGACCCTGCCTTGATTTGCAATCCTCGGTCAAAGATGTCAATGTCATCAAGCCCTAACCCGGCCAGAGCGCGCCTGCGCGCTGTAGACCTCGGCGAGGCTGTCGCGACCTCGCTGGGCTTCGTGTTTGAGGGTTTTGCGCGGTTGCCGTTCAGAGGATGTTGGTGTGGTTCTTGGCTGGTTGTCTGGTTGTGAGCACAAGGGTTTCACCTAGATGGATTGGCATGCTGCAGGATTGAAGAAGCCCAGTGCAAATCATGGAAGCTCTAGGTATACTTTTAGAGGTGCCCCCTTGCCGAGGACCCCGAGGGCTTGGAGGCACCCGCGGTGATGGTGGGGCCGATTCCCAAGGCCTCCTGTGACTTCAAGGGGGGTTAGAGGTTTCATGGAAAGTCATACAAGTAGGGTTGCTGGGCTCACGGGCTCTTCAGTTTGCGCCCAAGAAAGGAGTTAACCACGCAAAGATGCTGAACCTTCGAGCCACGATGGGTCTGGAGTGGCTAGCAGATGCTGGCAGTACCGCAGCGAGCCTTCCCGAGCATCCCTTCGCCCGTGGGCCCTGTGCAGGAGAAGGCTCAGCCTTTAGCTCCGCAGGCGAGGTCGACCAGTTTAGAGTTCGGCAAAATCATTCACATTGAATCTGGCCTCTCGTGTCACGAAAGCAGGCGACCAGCTCATATGTTCTGTCGAAGTCTCAGACCAGCACAGCAAGAGGGTCTTTGGCAGAGCGATGGGAGCGTGTTCAGGTTGCAGCTGCTGCTTTTGAGGGGGCACCCCTAGCCTGAGGCCAGTGGCGATAGATCCAACCTTGCTGTGGAGTTCACGTGGCAAGCCCCTTCCGTGCCGAGCTCAGTGGGTGCTGATGACGGTCATGCTGGCAGTTGTGCTTGTAACACGCTCTTCCTCGTCCTCGTCCTCGTCCTCGTCCTCGTCCTCGTCCTCGTCCTCGTCGTCGTCGTCGTCGTCGTCGTCGTCGTCGTCGTCGTCGTCGTCGTCGTCGTGGTCGTCGTTCGCTGTTTGTCAGAGACAGCCAAGCAATGACCTCTATGTCTTACCTTCATTGCTTGAGTCCAAAGGCAAATCATGCCCGAGTTTCCATAAACAGGTCCGAGACAAAGAAATGTTCAATGTGGCCCACCAACCCACCTGCCCTCCATCTCGGTATATGCTCTGCAAGCTGGATCTGCAGTCTGAGGGGATGCTGCCCTGTCAAGGTTTTAGGCTTAGTGCTTCCAGGCCTAGCTCGTGTTTGTCTGGTGTCATGGAGGCCTGTCTTGTCGTTGGCACACGGGACTGTCGTGTCTGGGCCTGGGCAGTGCACGCCAGCTGTTGCCACTACTGAACGAAGTTGGGGCCATCCCTTGAGTCGGCCGCATGCGACATTCTCTTATGCACTCTATATTCGCATTCTACTCACAGTCGATCACCACCTAAAAGTGATATTTTGTCACGGAGGCCAAGGAAGAGCAGCACTCGGCCTTGACTTCGCGCTTTGAGCACTTGAGCCCCATGGCTGCCATAGCTCCTTGCCATACCTCGAGTGAGGCTTGGTCGAGGTTCAAAAGCGGTGAGCAGGTGCACTGGCCAAGCTGCTTGCAACTCCTCCGTGCGTCCCTTTCACTTGCCCAAGCCGAAGCACGGACAGCATCGGATGTACAAAAGGGTGCACGGCCTTGTGACTCGCACGTGTCCATCACAACACTGTGATTGAAGCGGCGCAGTGAAAATGAAAAAGCTCTGCAGCATTTCTTTCAAGTTCTGACCCCGACACGGATCGGCTTGGGTCCAAATTAAATTGCAGCCATTTGCAGCCCAAGCCAGAACTCTGGCTGCCTTACGGTATGCTCTGGCTATGCCGAAGCTCCTTTCGTCCGGATTCCCCTCACGTATCAGGAGGGGTGACAAGTAGACTGACTTGACAACCACCAGAGCTGCACCCATCGTACATGGGACAGTGCTTTGCCAGGTCAGGTCTAATTGTCAACGCTTGCGCACGCCGCCTCGTCAGCCGGGCCGGCCCGACGCATGGTGCAGCTCCAGGAGGTCCAGAGGAGGTTTCGATTTAGGGGAAACATTTTGGGACTGGTCTCAGAGGTCCTGAAGGGGTTGCGGGGAGCGGTTCGGGCAGGTTTACAGGGTCTCCATACGCCCTGAGCGCTCATCGCTGCACCTAAACCCTAAAATAGTTCTAAGCTCCTAGACTCTAAACTTCCAATCCGTCTTTTGAAGGTTGTAGGATGCTGACACTTGTTGAGGGTGATCCGGTGTCAACATGTACTTCAAGATGCGCTCCAAGCACTTTGAATTTGCAATGTGACAGGCCGAGGGGCAGCTCTCTGGGCAGCTCTCTGGGCAGCTCTCTGGCAGCACGAAGGCCTTTCTCAGCAATTGGGGTCTTCTCAGGCACGCGAAATGCTAAAGCAATGCATGTATGTTGTATGTATGTATGTTGTACGTATGTTGTACGTATGTTGCATGTATGGAGGTATGGAGGTATGTATGTATGTATGTATGTATGTTTGTTTGTTTGTTTGTTCGTTTGTTTGTTTGCTTGTATGTAATTATGCATGTAGAGTTCGTTGCAAGTCGCGCTTGGGCCCACTTCAAATTTTAACGCTACGTGACCCGCCTCGCCCTGAGCTTCTGCAACAAGGCCACGCACAGCCGGGGTGGGGGAGGGGTGGGTGGGGGGGGCGTGGTGGGGGGCGTGTGCTACCCAGACACCTATGCCCCAAGGCCTCGGCGGATTTTCTCTCGACCGGGAACGGCGGCTGTCAAGCATTCGAAGTGCCAGGAAGTCCCCAAAAGTCCTGAGGAGCAAGCTCCCTGTCGATCTTGCGCTCGCCTCCGCGTTGCCATCATGACCCAACCCACCCCGATCTCGATCACTTGCGTATGAACCTTCAAGTGCACCATGCGAAGGCCCGCTACCTTGACAACAGGGAACCTTCGCTGTTTTGGTTCAAGGGTTGTTCCATGTTGTTCCTCAGGTTGTTGAAACTCCATTTAAAACGCGCTCGCCGCAGCCTGCATTTCGTTCTCGCGCCCTAATCGTGAGACTCGCTGAAGAATAGCTGAGATGTCATGCGCAATGTTCTTTGTTGAAGCAGCTTGGGTTGATGTGCAGTGAACCCAAACTAGCCGGTGTTGAGCCGGCCGAGGTCCATCACCTTAACTACCGCAACCAGTGGGACTTGGGACAGGCAAGCTGTCGACAGATGGCCTACAGTTGATGTAGAGACTTGCAATTGCAACTTGTAGGGAAGCTAGGTGTCGTGCGTGTTGATGATGGCTGCAATAATGTTACGCACAGCAGATGCATTGACCTGCGGACTTCGGCTCAAGCATTCTGAAGCCATGTTGTGGCCAACCGTGCCTTTTCCGTAAATACTCTCGTCGCTCAAGCAGCGGAAAGCTATGCTGCAGCGGGCGACGTTGTGGCTTCTGCTCGTTCTGGTGATTCCCACAGTTCCCAAGGACGTGGCAGAGGAGTATGCCACCAACTTCGTGCAGCGGAAAGTGGGGCGAATAGCTGCTTCAGTCAAGGACACGCCACGCGCTGCGGTCAAGCCTTGGCAAGTGCGTAAGTACGTCGGCGTCAGCTTCCACAAGTCTGGCACGGAATTGATCGACCACCTGTGGTACCATATGTTCGACGCTCTCGGAGCAGGCCCCTTCGATATCGGCAAGAACACGTCGTACAACAGCACGAGTTGGATCAGGAACCAGGTCAGTGTCATTTTCCCAGATGCGCCCATCCAGCTGAGGGAAGACGTGTGGTGGCCCGCCGTGGAGCAAGAGATGCGTGAAGCTGCAGCACCTCAACCGATCCGCATCGCAGCAATCGTTCGGGATCCGTTAGACATGATCGCCTCAGCCTACTGTTACCATCACCGCGGCGAGGAAAGCGACAACCTGCAGTTCTTCCCTAGAGGTACCTTGCAGTCCATGGGCCCCAAGGAAGGGACGGCCTTTGCGGCGGAGAGAATGTTTGGGGTAGTCCAGAACATGACGGAAAGCTTCGAGACCCCAAAAGAGGATATCTTGGTGATAAGGTATGAGCACATCACCGCCTCATCCAAGGGATTCGACGAAGCCATAAGGACGCTGATGGACTTCTTCTTCACGGGATTAATTTCTCAGGAGGAGTATAACTCTGCACTGGAGGCCAGCAGACACGTAGACTTGCATCGTTTTCCAGATTTCTGGGGACACACGAGCGATGCCGCTTGTGTCGCAGAAGCGAAGCAGGCTGCATTGGCCATGCCAGGAGACCTCCTGGCACCGTTTCACTCATTCCAGCAAAGGCTTGGATATCCGCTTGCGTGATCCCACTGCAATAACATTCGAAGATTCTCCCGCATGCTCCCGACTTCTCGGCAAAGTTCCGCGTCCATCTCAAGCTCGTGAAGGGCAGGCAGGGCAGGTCGTCCTGGAATGTCTAGGCGTAATTAAGATGAAGAACACTTCATCGACATCTAGTCACAAGCTCGTTCTCAATTCTGGCCTAAGCCCGCAACAGACATTTTACGTGCTGTCAGCCGTGTGAATGACAGGTGCTGTGCACGACGGTGGTTTTTGGGAGAGAGCAGGATGTGTTTTCTCAGGGCTGGCAAGTGGGGTTCCGTGGTCCCCTCGTCTTGTGATCCTTCGGTCCGGGAGTCTCCTAGTCCTGTGATCCCCTGGTCTTGGGACACCCCCCCTGGTAGTGGGATGGAGTGGGCCGAGGTGCGCAGCGGGCGGCACGCTTTCCTTCCCCCTTTTGTGGGAAATTCTCGGGTTTCAGGCTCTTGGTTGAGCTCTTGTCACGAAAGCTGGCTCGGACAAAAGCGACTTGGGGGGGACCTTAAGCCTTTAAGAATCAGGAGGCGTCACTGTGTGCGGCGTGCCTGATGGGGTGGGGGAGTTGGGCACCGTCACCTCCCCGAACCCCTCCCCACCTCAGGGCCTGCAGCCTGCAAACACGGACTATATACCCGGCTGCGTGGCACCCTCGGGGGCCCTGGCTTTCGTTCGTCCTGCTCTCAAGTCGGGGGGGTTGTAGGGTCCAGGACATCGAATTGAAGCACGGCGCCGGTACACTTGCCAAGATGTATCTGTGCACCGTGCGTGATGCCATGATCCAAGCCTACCCTGACGTTTCTTCACGTTCTTTCAGGTTAGGAGCATGATGACATCTCGAAGCCGCAAGCCAACTTCATTCACGCTTTTCATGGGTTTCAACCGCAACGTCTGCCCCGCCAATGCAATCCGACCGGAACTGCGTTAACGCCGTTAAAGCCCTTGCAAGGAGCATTTTGCCTCTACAGTTCTGTCACTGAAGTAGCAAGTAGCATGCAGCAACAAGTGGCGTTGTGGCTTCTGCTCATTCTGGCGATTTGGGGGGGGGGGGGGCGGGCGAATGGTTGCTTCGGCCGCAGCTTGCATTTCGTTCTCGTGTACTAGGGTGCCCTAATCGTGAGACTCCGATTGGGCCCACCGCTGATGAATAGCTGCGATGTCATTTTCAATGTTCTTTGTTGAAGCAGCTTGGGTTGATGTGCAGTGAACCCTAGCCGGTGTGGTTTGGCCAGGACGGGTGGCCGCAGGTAGAACATATGGAAAGGTCTAAGTATGACGCGGTACACGTGGCGAGCTGGTCGAGGTCCATCACTCTCAGCTATCGCAACCAACCGGACTTGGGTCGGGCAAGCTGCATGTCGACAGATGGCTTACAGTGAACGTAGGGACTCGCAACAGCAACTTGCAAAAATGCATTGACCTGCGGACTTCGGCTCAAGCATTTTGAAGCCATGTTGTGGCCAACCGTGTTTTTTCCATGAAGACTTTCGTCGCCCAAGTAGCGGATAGCTATGCTGCAGCGGGCGACGTTGTGGCTTCTGCTCGTTCTGGTGATTCCCACAGTTCCCAAGGACGTGGCAGAGGAGTATGCCACCAACTTCGTGCAGCGGAAAGTGGGGCGAATAGCTGCTTCAGTCAAGGACACGTCACGCGCTGCGGTCAAGCCTTGGCAAGTGCGTAAGTACGTTGGCGTCACCTTCCACAAGTCTGGCACGGTGTTTTTGAGAGACCTGTTTATCCATCTTTTTGACGCGCTCGGCGCAGGCCCCTTCGATATCGGGTGGACATCTTCGTACAACAGCACCGATTGGGTCAAGAACCATACAAATGTCCTTTTTCCAGAGGCGCCCATCCAGCTGAGGACAGACACGTGGTGGCCCGCCCTGGAGCAAGAGATACGTGAAGCTGCAGCACCTCAACCGATCCGCATCGCAGCAATCGTTCGGGATCCGCTAGATATGGTCGCCTCAGCCTACTGTTATCATCACCGCGGCGAGGAAAGCGACAACCTGCAGTTCTTCCCTCAAGGTACCTTGCAGTCCATGGGCCCCAAGGAAGGGACGGCCTTTGTTGCAGAGAGAATGTTTGGGGTAGTCCAGAACATGACGGAAAGCTTCGAGACCCCCAAAGAGGACATCTTGGTGATAAGGTATGAGGACATCACCGCCTCATCCAAGGGGTTCGATGAAGCCACGGGGAAGCTGTTGGACTTCTTCTTCGCGGGTTTACTTTCTCAGGAGGAGTACAACTCTACACTGGAGGCCAGCAGACAAGTAGACTTGAATCGGTTTCCACTTCCAGATAAAGAAAAGGGCCACACGAGCGATGCCGCTTGCGTCGCAGAAGCGAAGCAGGCTGCGTTGGCCATGCCAGGAGACCTCCTGGCACCGTTTCACTCATTCCAGCAAAGGCTTGGATATCCGGTTGCTTGATCCAACTGAAACACTGTAACAACACACATGCTCCTGGCTGTATCGGCAAAGTTCCGCATCAATCTGAAACTTATCAGGGCAGGCAGGGCAGGCAGGCTGGAGGCCTGGTTGATCTAGAGGCTGGGATTCACCTTTGGGCATTAGGCATAAGATGTTGCAAGCTGATTTCTTAGGTTTCCGGACGGGTCACAGAGTATGTGGTTTGGGCTTCAGGCAAGTTTCTCCTTCCCCTTCCGCTCTGGATGCCCGGCTTTGTCCAAGGCAACCTACCGGGCCAAGAACCTAAGTCCGCGAGAGGCGTTGCACGCATTTGCATGCCGTCAGCTGCACGAACGGCAGGTGCCGTGTGTTACGGCTGCTTTTGGGGGAGTCCTGGATGCCGTGGTCCTAGCCGCGGGAAGGGGAGTGGGATGGAGTGGGTCGTGGTACGCAGTGGTTCGCACGTGTTTTTGGGATTGTTTAGGGTTTCAGGCTCTTGGTTGAGCTCCTGTCCTATTGTAGGGGAATTGCCGGCAGTGTCACCACGGCAACCCGACTCACTAGAAGCGCGTTAGCCCTTGCACGGAGCTTTGGAGAGAGCGTAGGCGACAACTTCTTAGGCATGTTAAGATAAGAGGGATAGTAGGAGGGACCCTTGAGTCCTACTCGTCGGTCTTGTATAATTAGTCCGCATAACATCAAGTATCCCTTCAGTTTTCCCTACATACCCCCTAGCCCGCAGGGTCAGTAAAAGGATCCCATCCTTTGGTCCTTGAAATGCACGTCACCGAGGAAGGGCAGCAGCATTGGTTCAGCCAGCAAGGGCGGTGAGGGCATTGGTAATGGCTCATCAGGCCTTGCAGTATTTTGTGATGTTTGCGGCCGGTCCGGCGAGTTTTGTTCCGGTGGCAAACCATGCCGCCGTTAGCACTGAAGGTGTGACCGCGGCTGGCGCAAAAATGCTGGGACCAATGTGTCCATGACTGAAACGGTACGGGTGATGCAGCGTTTTTTTCAAGTTCCGACCCCGGCACGGATCGGCTTGGGTCCAATTCGGGCTGCTCCATGCAGAGACTCCTTGTGCCTATACTCACCTCAAGTATCAGCGGGGGTGATAAGATGACTGGCATGAATGACATGAAGATGACTCGAGCTGCGCATCGTACGTGAACAGTGCTTCGCAAGGTTTATGCGATGCTGGCCAACCGTCTCAAGTGTGCACGCCTGTTGCGGACATTTTTGAGCTCGAGCCAAAACAAACAACATCCACCCAACTGCCCGCTCCCCTGCAAAGTGCACTCAAACTTACCGCCCCTCGGCCGCGGCCCCAGCTTGACTGTTAAACCAGCGAGCGACTCCAAAGCCGTTTGAGCAACTCGGGGGCGTGTTCTTCACGCAGAAGGCCCTCAAAAGCGGCCTTCCACATGTATGACATTAGAGTTTTTAAGGCCCGGCTGCAAATTGAAATTCAGGTTAAATGCTGATTTATTTTGCAGTAGATTATGAGTTAGGTTCTTGGATAAAAATATAATTTCATTAAAGTCTTCCTCTTCTTTGGGAACCTTGGTCGCTAGCAGGGTGGCAAGCAGTGCGCAAGAAAGCTTCATGTTTACCAAGCTCCGCCCTGAAAAACCCAGTTCTCAGGCTGCGGGCAACTGCGTACTACCTTGTCAACTGGGAACTTTCCGCCGAAGCATCCGGCTCAGTCCGGGGGTTGGTCCTGATGATGCGCGCTTGTGGTTCAAGGGTTCTTCCAGGGTTGAAGCCGCAGTTATCAGAGGGCTCGGGTTGGAGCAGAGGTTACCCAAACTAGCCAGCTTTTAGTCAGGACGGGTGGCCTCACCTAGAGCGTAAGGAAAGGTCTAGTTATCACGCGCTGCACGTGGTGAGCCGGTCGAGGTCCATCACTCTCAGCTACCGCAACCAACAGGACTTGGGACAGGCAAGCTGCATGTTCACAGCTGGCCTACAGTGAGCGTAGGGACTCGCAGCCGCAACGCGCCAGGAAGCAAACTGTGTTGCGTGTTGACTAGGGCTGCAGCACAACAGATGGGCATTGACCCGTTCACTGCGGCTCAAGCATTCTGAAGCCATGTTGTCGGCCACTGTACATGGTGCCGCTGTGGCTTCGGCCCATTCTGGTGGTTCCCATTCTCCATTTCACAAGCCTGGTACAGTGTTGATGAGGCATCTGTAGTACCATCTCTTTGAAGACCTCACAGGAAGCACCTTCGACATCCGGTGGACATCTTCGTACGTTAGCAGCGATAGGATCCAGAACCATGCAAACGTCCATGGGCCCAGCCAAGACGGGACAGTTGGTGGCCCGCCATCGAGCAAGAGATGCGTGAAGCCGCTGCCCGCATCGCAGAATCCGCACCCTGCAGTCCTTGGGGCCCGAAGAAGAGAACATGTTTGTGGTAGTCAAGAGCATGACGCAATGCTCTGGGTCAGCAGGTATGAGCACATCAATGTCTCATCCAGACCATAGGGAAGTTTTCAGGAGGAGCATAATTCTGCATGGGAGGCCAGCAGACAAGTGAACTTCAATCGCTGCCCAGATTCAACGGCCCGCACGAGTGATGCTGCGTAGCAAGAATGTAGCAGAAGCGAGGCAGGTTGCATTGGACATGCCGGGAGACCTCTTGGAATTCTTACCACTCATTCCAGCAAAGGCTTGGATGTGCAGTTGCTTGCTCCAAGTGCTTTCCATTCGCAGGCTCAAAAAGTCTGCATGAATCTCAAGCTTGCGCAGGGCAGGTATAGGTCGTCACGGGCATGTTTCATCTAGAGCCTAGGCCTCACAGTTGGGCTCACGGGTGACTTCATGGGCCTTCTTTAGGCGGAAGATGAGGAGCACTTCTTCGATTGCGAGTTGCAAGATGATAGCTCAGGGTCGTAGCTGGGAATTTCAGGGTTGACGTTTTTGAGAGGTTTGGGGACGTCACAGAGTTTGTGGTATGGGCTTCAGGCAAGTTTCTCCTTCCCGTTCCGCTCTGGATGCTCGGCTTTGTCCAAGGCAACATGTGGGTCCGGGCCGAGAACCTAAGCCCGCGAGAGGCGTTGCACGCATTTGCATGCCGTCAGCTGCGTGATCGGCAGGTGCCGTGTGTCACGGCTGCTTTTGGGGGAGTCCTGGATGCCGTGGTCCTAGCCGCGGGAAGGGGAGTGGGATGGAGTGGGTCGTGGTACGCAGTGGTTCGCACGTGTTCGGCCACCTTGCTTTTGGGATTGTTGAGGGTTTCAGGCTCTTGGTTGAGCTCGTGTCCTATTGTCGGGGAGTTGCCGGCAGTGTCAGGGTAGATGGGGGCCCATCTACACTCACCTGTATCTACTGTAGCTGTGCTGGAAGCCGCAAGCCCACTTCGTTATCGGTCAACGCTTCTGAATCGCAACATCTGCATTGCCACGGCAACTCGACTGACTAGAAGCGCGTTAGCACTGTCAGAGCCCTTGCACGGAGCTTTGGAGAGAGCGTAGGCGGCCTCTTCTTAGGCATGTTAAGGGACAGAAGGGACATGCAGTCCTACTGCCCTGTACAACCCGTGTCGTATGTCTGGTCTGGTCCGACTATCAAGGGATACTTGATTGTTCCCTACACAATCCCTCGACCCCAAGGGTCAGTAAAAGGATCCCATCCTTTAGTCCCCGACATGCATGTCGCTGAGGAAGGGCAGCAGCATTGGCTCAGCCAGCAAGGGCGGTGAGGGCAATGGTAATGGCTCATCAGGCCTTGCGTTGTTTTGTGTTTTTGCGGCCGGTCTGGCGAGTTTTGTTCCGGTGACGTGTCTCTCCAGCGGCGGGCGGCAAACCATGCCACCGATAGCAGTGAAGGTGTCACTATCCCAGCCCTGGGCTTTTCTGTCGTCTTGAGAAGTGCCGACAGGCCCACGCAAGAATGCTGGGACGACCAACGTGTCCATGACGTGCCTTGGCGAACCGCAGAGCCTTCAGTCAGCTGGTAGAAGAGGGGCGGTGAGGTTTCTTTATATGTCATTTTGTACATGGCCCCCGATCTGCCGACCTCGTGCTCCCACCAAATCTTTGAGAGGGGACTTGAGAGGCATGTCATGAAGTTCCTGGCCGGTGATGCCCTGGCTTCCGCGATCATTGGCCTGGATCCCACAGCGCGGAAATAGTCGGAGTTGAAGAGATTACCTCGAGGGTCGATGAGTATGCCGCCACAGTATGCCAGGGCTGTTTGTTCTAGGAATCCCTCAGTCTTAATGACTTCATCATGGTAGCCGTATGGCGGCTTTGCACGGCCGACATGGCGATACTGCACAGCTTGGCAGCGAAGCATGCAAGGCAAGGGCGGTGCCGTGATCACGCAGATCCGAGCCAGCCGGATCCACAGCTGCCATCGCTGGACTCACATGACTCAGTAGACTTAGACATGGCCAGTTTTCCAAGCTGGTGTCTCGCAGTGGCTGGAACATGAGATCCATTGTGCCCAGACTGCAATGCGAAGCTGGCTCTGACCGACAAAGGACAAGCGCCGGGCTCGGTCCGGCATTTCAGGGCATTTCAGGGTCGTGGGTTCAGGATCTTAAGGGTTGGAACTTTGCCATTGGTAGTGTAGAATACGGAATGTAAAAGCTGCTGTAGCTCCTTCCGGCCGCCAGCCAGTACTTGCTGATGCACGCAAGATCTTGCGTTGCCCTGCAAGCCCAGGTCTTTCCAAGCACCGACTGCCGTGTACTCACTGCCCAGGCAGTGCAAGCGCAAAGATGGCACTCCAAAAATTCAGCTGGTGGTTCTGGTGGAGGTGATGGTGGTGGATTAGGATGTTGCCGTTATCACACTGTAGTTCTGTCAGCAGACCTCACATGGAGCTGGGGGGTGGGGTGGGGTGACCGCACGTGGCGCTTCCTGGCCAGGCCAACTCGGAGAACGAGTTGAACGAGGAGGGGATAGGGTTTTAGGTTTTAGGGTTTGTCAGCCTGCAGACCCTCCCCCCCCCCCATCCTAAAACTCTCAGTGTTTTAAACCTTGAAATCTGCATGTATTCTTCGAGATTT